TTCCACTGCCACTATAAACAAGAATTTACAAATATGATCTTGGCGGTGTGTAGAGGAAATTAGGAAATTTAGGAAGGAAAGGAAATTTTTGCCCTTTCCAACAAGGTTTGTGCATTAAATCTGCCATAGGTATCTAGCATAAGCATTCTGACACTACCAGGCCCCTTAGCTATTGGATCTTCAACAGCTAGCTCTGCTGCAATTTCAAAGATACTCAGTGCACAAGCACAACTTTTGATCACATGTGTTACATCTGTGGGATCCCCCAGAGAAACAAATGCTGCCAGCACAGCTGTCAAAGTGCATCCAGCTGCAGTTATCTTTTTAAGGATTGGATGACCATTTGATACAGCGATCACACTAGAGCCATCTGTCACAAAGTTGTGTTCTCCTGTCACTACAACAACACAGCAGCACTCCTTGGCCAAGGCCTTGGCAGGCCCAAGGGCATGGTCTGAACTCTGAGAACTGTCAACTCCTTTTTGAGCTCCATCTAAACAGGATGTGATCACCATTATCACTAATTTTAAACCCCTCTTCCATGAATCCTCAAACCTAACATTAGTATCCTGGTTCTCCAGGCTGTTCTCTATACAATTTCAATGGTGCTTGTCAAACAATTAAGAGCTTTCTTACTTGTTGATCATTTCCTTTATTCTCATGACCTTAATGTTTGAATCAGGGTGATATTGTAAGGAGATATTAGATGCTAATCACTCTTGGAGGTTGAAGGGTTAACCCCAATATCAACCTTCATGTCTGCTAACAATAAAAAATTTGACTATTGGTGTAAACATGACCCCAAGTTTGGTGAATGGTAAATTCTTTACACAAGACTGAGTCAAAGCAGCTGAAGCCTACTTTGTAACCAATTTGGAAAGTTGTGCTTTCTTCATTACAGTTTGCAGCAAGCCTTTGGTCAGATTTTCCTGTTATGACTGTTCAAGAACACACAATGACCTGTCCTACCACAATGACCATATAATCCAGAAACCATCACACTTATCATTAAACCACTGTCTCCTGGGTGGGGTTGGGGGGTGTGGCACAATGGTTAGCTCCATGACGATTGACAGCTAAATTGATGAAAATTCTAGAATTGCAATTTGCAGTGATCAAAAGCAATTTACATCATTACCATACCTGACGGCTGAAGATCAAGTCCTTTGCAAATACTTTTGGCAAGAGCCATTATCTCAGAGGGATTGCCTCGTATCACAGTGGGCTTATAAGAAACAACCAAGTCTGTTGCAGTGTTTGTCCGTAAGCTGGTGGCACCTGCGCCCACAGGGTCTAACACCCATGGCTTCCCCAATTCCTGAGCTTTTGCTGCAGCCTTGTGCATTGACCTGATCCAAGGTGTAGAAAGAGTTCCAATATTTATCAGCAGTGCAGAGGCCAAGGTGACAAATTCTTCCACTTCTTCTTCAGCTGAATAATGAAAGTTTTTATGTTAGTCTGTTCGGAAAATTTATCATATTTTTTTATAATTGCGTAATTTGTTATTTTTCCGGCAATTCTATGTTTTCAGTTGATATCTCCAAAGATCTGAGCCCAGGTACGTATCTACGGAGTCATTCTCGTATAAAAAAGTTAAAATTTAGAATCCAGAAGTTGTTCTGAAGTCAAGATACAGAGTTGTAAAAAGCGACCTCAACCCTCCTTCCCTGTTTACTTTTTCCGCTTGCACAAGTCCTGAAAAAGATTGTCGGGAGAGAAAATTTTGTTTTTGTGTCTGTAGATATAATGCTCTTCTCTACGAGAATATCGTGTTCCACAACATAGCCTCTGACTCTCCGCTCCTAAAAAATTGTCGTTGACGTCATAAACTTCTCTAAGTTTCCTTCATTAGTTAACATTAAAATGTTCAACCCACCGTGTACCATGGCAGGGGACGCTCCGATCGCAAGGAGAGTATTTGCCATGATGTCCATCGACACATAATTTGTGATACACTGAACCAAAGGACAGTCCGATCTTAATTTCTGGAGAAGGCACCAACAGTCTGAAGAGCTACATTTCACTGGCTTACGATTATTATCACCGGTGGAACTTGGATGTGCTGGCTGAGACATGGCATCCGTTCAGAAGATATAAGTTTAATTCTTACTTTTTAGAAGCGTACCACAACTTCTCAGTATTCACGCACGAATGCACCAAAAGCGGAAGTAATCACGCGTGAGTAGAAATCAAAGTCACGCGATCAAGGCCAATAACTGGCAGCGAAGGTACTTTACTCGATTCTTTCACGGTATGCCTTGCGCTTGTGGAGCTGTTTAGACATCTAAAGGTTGGTAGAATCAGTCGTTTGATTTTCTCACCTAAGAATGTTGACATACGAAGATTATTTTTCAAACGCAAGTGTCTGATTCATCTTTAAGTAGATCACTTTCGCTTTGCAATATCTTTTGAAGTATTTAATTTACTGTAACTTGACAAATTTTTGCTTTTCTAAAAAAAGAGATAGGTCAAATTGTTAAAAGTAAATTTGAAATGGCTTTTTTGCCAGATGTCATAGCATTTTATGTTTATGGAATAAGGAGAAAGCGTTCTCTCGAATCCGGGGATTGTCCTCAAGAATACTCAAACCATTGAGTCACTCAGCGCTATTATTGTGAATACCCTTTTACATTTTAACACCAAATTTTCTCATCTTTGATTTCTTTGCTTTTTAACTTATTTACCATCGTTTTTACCGTCTCGTCATAGTTTTAAGACTCCTTATTTCAAAATTTCTGTGATTTGGAACATTTCCAATCATATCGAGTGAACATCATCGTAAACCCGAAAACTATGTCTACCGTTCATAACAGAGGGGGGCCAGCATGGTTTCGATCTAAAGATAAAGTTTGCCAAGAATTTGAAAGGGATTGAATCGTGAATTATTGTCACCGTAAAAATTGTCTTTAAAATCTAACTTGTAACGAAATCTAAATCCAAGGTATCCCAAGCTCTTTCCCAGGGTCCTCTCTCTTCCTCCCTTGGGGAAGAGAGAGGACCCTGGGGACAAAGTTGTACCTCGTGCATTTCTTGCTTTTCACAAGATTCCATTTGTCATCCCGACCAAATATCGAATCAACGAGTAAATTAAATTCCGGTAGCATCAGCTTTCCGATGAAATGCTTGTGAGGTGTTGTTCTGTTACAACGCAGTTATAAGGGGAGGAGAGGGGGGGTTGAGTGGGTAGGATTGCCAGTCAGATCCTAAAAGGTCGAGTTTGTATTCAAGTTTGGGATGAGCAGGATCTTGTTGATTCCTTTTTTTTCCATGTTTGTTGGTATTGTTGTTTTTGCGAATGTACAAATCAAAATTGTCTCAGGTTGCATTTTGGTCTGTCGTCCTCTCACTCAGATATCAGTCGTTGTCGACAAATGAACCTTATTCATGCTTAGTGAATTACGGGGAACCTAGCCTTTGTCTCAAACATGTTTTGTTAAAACTTGTTCTGAGATATCCATGAGAATGTATTTCTATTTTCTTTTAAGTGTACCACGAAAGTTGAATGGAAAGATTGCCACCAAACACGATCACAGAGAAGGAAATCCTTCGTTTTCAAGAGGATGGGGCTCTTTGTTTAAGAGCTGTTTTCAGTCATAGATGGATTGATCTCTTGCGAAGAGGGATTGAATTCAATAGGCTCCACCCATCCGATATGACAAGACGTAAGGGCCACACGCCTCTCTTCTTTCACGATTACAGCAACTGGAAAAATATTCCTGAATACGAGGAGTTCATTCGCCATTCCCCAGTTGGCGAAATAACAGGACGAATTCTTCAGTCTTCGGTAAGGGAGTCGCCAGTTTGCTTTGCATGACACCGACTTGTTTTAGCGTTGGAAACTGCTAACCACATCCTTCCGCGGTGCGGTTTTTCCAGACCTCTTTACAAAAAGTAGCAAAGCAAAACCAAAGCAATCCGGTTTTTTTCTCCACACCTAATTAAAAGCGTTCTTAACACATGGTACCCATCCTCTGTGGCAGGTGTTTGCGCGGAACATGGGAGAAGAAAAAATGGAGATGAGGGTATGGGGAAGAGAAATCCTATCGAGCTTTCCTCTCCCTCCAGATTTCACCTCTGTAATTGTACAAAAAAATATCCTTATTCAACACGTGCTCCTGTAAATTTAAATGCCACTCTTAACTGCCTGGCGTTTAGTAGTCATTTGCAAGAGATGTCACCACATTTTCAGCTTTATTGTCAATTGTTAATCTCCTTAGGTAGCTGCGCTGTATTCCAATCACGTGATTGTGAAAGACAGCGGATCAACCAAACAAACTCCATGGCACCAGGATCAGGCTTATTATGAGATTGATGGACAGCAGGCATGTGTAACCTGTGATTTATGGTCGGTTTATCTGATCTCGTACCCAGATCTTACCTTGTAACTTTAACTGAGATGTACAACCGCTTGGTCTTGAAAGGTCTGGGTACGAGACTACGGTTTAGGAATAATTATGTAAGTTCTGTTTGACTTATATAAATGCGCTAAAACAATTTTTACAAGGTAAGGAATAAAAACTTGATAGAGCACAGTATTTCGATTGAGCATCGTCAAACAAAAACCAAATTATTTTAACGGCCGATCAGACCAAAATGTCAAAAGGAACCAATGAGAAACTAAAGTTTAGTTTTGCATTTGATTGGTCGAGAGGTTGGCGTGAATCTTCTTAACCGATCAAAACAATGCAATCCCAAATGATCCCGGGTTACTTTTACACGTCACAATCTCTGCTCTCATACCGCTGAAGATTCAGAATAATGATGGTCATTATAAAAAAAATCAATCAAATTATTTGGCATAGCCTTGGAGGTCGTTATTTTATCGTTTTTTGTTCTTATAAAAAGATATTTGCTTACTCAGGTTTGTTCTGTGTGGCTCCCAGTGGACCCAGTCTCCGAACACACCTGTCTTCGTCTTGTGAAAGGTTCTCACAAGTTTCCACATTACTTTAAACCTGTTCATTTTGACGGCCCTCCTTTTACGTCCTACGAAACAAAGCCTGGAAAAGAAAAGAGAGCTGATGAATTTCTTTCGACACCAGATGTTGATGGAAACGACCAATATCAAGTCTTGTCCTGGAATATGGAGGTGGGTTAGCCCTTAGAAAACCTCCCTCACCCTCCCCCCGCCGTCCGAATAAAACCTACTGTTGTCAATCTAACGCTGATTTTTCGAAGGGTAGATAGCGAAATCCATTGGATAAATCACTTAGAAGTTGATTGTTCAGATCTCATTTATGTTTTAGACCCTAGAAAGATGCTGAAATCGCCAATCCTGCGTCATGAATTTTGCCCACGTAAGCAAACATTGTAGCATCATTTAACTCCACAACATTTACCACATTTAATTAACTGCGAAGTTAGTGACTAGATAGCTTGAGTTTTTTGAAAAAAACTGAAATAACGGTGCCAAGGAGATTGGGAATCTTTAGTGTGAGGCCTCTAAATTAGATTTAGTTGACCCAATGTTCTCTTAGATTTCATTATCACGTAACTGGAAACTTCTTCAGTTCTCGGCGAACCTATTGCATTCCCGTGTATTCCTCTAAGTGTCACAGCACTTTTGTAATGTGAATGCTTTTCTCCCGGCTGAAATAAAATATCCATCAAGCTAAGAAAGGCAGCCGATGATGATCTCTATATTTCATCTATTATTTTTTTCTTTAGCCGGGAGACTGCATTGTTTTCCACATGAAAACAGTTCACGGTGCGCATGGCAATAATCTAGAGACGCCTCGACGAGCTTTCTCTACACGATGGCTGGGAGATGATGCTGTTAAAGGAGAACGACCTTGGATAAATCTACCACCAAGTAACGAGATCAGAAACTTGAAAATAGGAGAGAACCTCATTAAGTCGGGTGCATTCACTGTTACTTGGACCGTATAGAGCAATTTTTAATAGAATGTCGATTGTAATCCGAGATTGCTTTGGTTTAGTTTTACTTCGCTCCGTGATTGGTAAAAAACTCGCACCGCTCTCCCAACCAATCGGAAGCGACATGGTCACTCGCCTTTTCCCGCACTTGAGGCAGCTTGGTGGTTTTCACTCTGCGTTCTCATTGGTTCTTAAAGTTATTTCGTCTTACTCTGATCGACCGTTGTGATTACCTTGTTTTAGACACTCAATCGAAAAGCCCTCCAATGGATATTGATGCTGATGATAAAATTAACATTTTGTCAGGATACTTTTTAAAGGCAAATTTTGCCATATTTTTTCAAAGTTCTTTCAGGTAGTACTAAAACGAGGAACAAATTGCTAGTCCTTGTAATAAATTTCCAGGTGTCACATTTAGCGGAAGAAAGGAGGAGTCGTGGTTTTCGCAAATTAAAAAACCAGACATGGGCAAATCTACAGGCCAATATCTTTGCTACTACAAAAACTTGGGAATAAGTTAGGTTCGCTTTCATACACTGGTATATTAGAGAAAGTCTCAAAAAGGATTCAGTTCATAACACGGTTTATTTTGTACTTAGGATGTCTTATTCCTTTACAAACCCTCACGTGGCCATTTGAATAACTTAACTATGTCTTGCTTTCCACGAGCATTGCGTTCGATCTCATTTCTTTGCGACATCTCGGCCTTCCGTCCAATTATTTGTGACGTGGTTTCTGGAAATGGCATCTTGTTGGCGTTGCCAAGCAACACTTGAGCCTGTTCTGTACCATCTTTCTCTTCGCTCTCTGTACTAGTCACCAGGCTTTCTTGTTTACGTTCTTCATCCACCTCAAACTCATCTTGGCCGATTCTCAGTGTCTCGAGCTGTAACTAAATCGCAATGGTATGAAAGGAACGTTGTCTGAAATTTTCAATGAAATGTTCCAAAAGATATTACGCGCAAAAGCATGAGTACTAATAAGAAATGAAAAGTTCACTCTCGGGAGTTCACCAGCGAGGACATTGTTTTTGTTAATTATGTGCTTTGACGAATTGGCCATAGCTTTGTTACATCACACGTGAAAAACGAAACAGAAAATCACAATGCAGCTCTTTTGAAAATGTTTCCTTGCATCTCAATAGTATTTGATCCAGTTATCAGTACTCTCGCGTTTTGACGTAACTCTGTCAGCCTGAATGCTCCCTACTTGATATTTTCCGTCCCTCTACACAATGACGTGCAGGGCGCTCTACAGAACATGCTTACCCGATGGTATTCATTAGCCAGAAATCCCCACTTATCCGGCCATCGCCTCTGAGAGAGGAGTTCTCTATTTACATGATCTTTCCTGTAATCGATTGAAAAATAAAGAATACAAGAAACATTTTTTCAGGTAAAGAGAAATTCCGGTGTTAAAAGAATATGGGGGGTTGGCGGGAAGGGGATTTTGCCTTGAAAATCTTGGTGTGATGGGGGAATGACGGAGGGCATTCTTTTGAGTAGTAATTCCACAACTTCTTGGGCAAAGCCAGGGCATGGACACTAATTTGTAGCCGAAGAACGGCTTAAAAAGACGGATGGTACTTTTTTGGTGTTGGAATCGGTATCAGCGGACATTACAAATCTTTGATGAATAATGTAACAAACGAAGTTCTTTTAATGCCGCGTCTGGTAAAAAGTGAACATAAAGTAAAATAATTGTATACACAATACGCTCTTTTTTCTTCAAAGTGCTCTGTGATTTGGCTTGAAAACTCTCACTACCTTCTCAATCAATCAGATGTTAATATAAATTAATCGACTACCTTTCACGCGCTTAACTTTTTTTATACTCATTTATTTCGTTTCTCATTGGCTCTTTGTATTTCTCTCTATTTTGATTGGCTACCAATAGACCATCGAGCTTAAGAGAAATGAAAAGTTTGCTTTAGGGTGCAAAACGGCTCGAAGTCGTCTGCAACTTTTCAGCACAAAAAATGGCTTGAGTCAATTTTTGGATATTGGTAGAAGATACCACAGGCATCATTGTTGCCGATTTATAACCGATCCACTCCAAAAATGAAATTTCTAACCAAATTGCTCGGCACTTATATCGCCTACAGTTGGGGAAATTTATGAGGGACCACAAAAAAAAGTCAGACTTACCATATTTCGTCGTTGTGTACAAAATTGCACGCTTTCACTTTTCCCCTCACGCCAAACATCTTCGCTTTCTGGAGAAATAACTTACTCTCATTATGACGTCAAACAGTTTGCGTGCGCATGATTGTCGAAGACTCCATGCCATCTCGCTTCCCGAGGGCTAATTTTCAGAGCCTTATCCCTTGCGGACAGCAAACAAAGGAGGAGTTACTGGAAAGACTGGAAAAATTACAAAAATTGTTTTTTCTTTTCAAACAGGATACATGTTCATCAAATCTAATCATAGAGAAGTTGGGTGAAAATGTAACAAAAAAATGCGGAAACTGTAATGGACATGATGTAATTTGTTTTGGACTGCAGCAGACTGTTTTTTTTAGTTTGTCATGTATTGACAGACGTGGTTCAACATGCCATAGGAGTTATCAGGGGTGAAATATGTATAGAGGATGTCCTGAAATGAAAATTGCTCCCAGTTAGTGGGAGGTTTGAGTTACAGAGGGTTCGAGTTAGCAAGGGTAAAATTGCAGTAAATGTATGATGGAAATACCGAGGAAATCAAATTTGGTTTGAGTCACTGCAAGGTTTCAGTTCAGGAGGGTTCAAGTTATCAGGATTTTTCTGTAGTACATTTATTCTTTGCCTCATCACAGCTTGCTGCATTACTACCACTTCATCAAATAATTGATAATTGTGAATCTCATTAAAGCCAAGTAATGTTAATATTACCATTCATCCCATCACTGCATGAATTTCTTTTCTTATTGCAGGTACTACATACATTTCTTTACACATATGCCAAAATAGGAACTGCTATACAAGATCATCTGTTCTTTTTTTTTCATTAATTTGTCGATGATTTGCACACGTGGAGAGATGAGAATTCACAATGAACACCTCAAGTTTCTCTACATAGAAAAATGAAAAAAAGATATACAGGCAGTTAAAAGTACTTTATTATTATTACTAACTTCAAGTAAAGAAAAGTGAAGCATAGAGGTGTCTTATATCAGACATTATATTACAAATTCACTTAGATAAATCAAAGCAGTTAATGAAGTTCCTTCTAAAATGCACAAATTTTGACAGAAGTAGTTTTAAATGATGAAAATTAGCTTGGACTCCAGTCACTTTCATCTTTCCTTTCTCTTCAGTTTACCAGTGGCCATCATGTAGTAGTAGTAGGCTGCAACACCCATTCCAACAGGTAGAACACCCATAAGACCCCTGAAGATAATCTTATCTCTTGTACCCCTCAGCAGATACACTGGAGCTTTCGATTGCTATCAAAACCAGGAATAAATCAAGAAGAAAATGTTAGAAGTTAAAGCACAGTGATTCAAGTGGTACATGATTATCTAAAGATAATCATTGTGTCTTTTTCCTCAATGTCAATGTATATTTAGTCATAGTAGTCTTGTATGTCATGAGTTGTATGAGGAAATAAAGCTGTAATTTAAAAAGAGGGGAAAATTGTGTCTAAAACATGAGTGGAAGATGTGGTAGCCTTAAAGTTAATTCACTGGATTCTGGGTTGAGGGTTCAGAGTTTGAGACCTGTCAATGTGTTATGTTCTTGGGCAAGACATTTCACTCTCAAGGTATCTCTTTTAACCCAGGAGCATAAATGGGTATCAGCAAAATGTCAAGGAAGCCTGGTAAAATCCTGGGGGAATAGCCTTGTGTTGGAGTGGCATCCCATTCAGGGGGGGAGAAGTGTACCCCTTGTGGCTTCATGCTATGGAAAGTGGGATAAGTTCCCCGTGGGTGAGGCACTTGGCTAAAGTACAGACTACTGCTTTAATTAAAACATGATTCAAACTGATCAAGGTAGCTACTTGTATCTTTGGATGTTACTCTTCATATAAAAAAGTTTGATATCTAGTTCTGGGGTCCTTGGTGTAAAATCATTGGTCCACCATATCTCTGGTAACTTAATAATGCTAAGTTGGTCAGTTCTTAGAGGGAATATAACATGTATAGACTAGCTTCACTCTAAAAAAATCATTTCTTAAAGGATGTGTTGCACTAAATAATAGTAAGCTTCATTGATGGGGAAAACATGGTAGCCGAATGTTTAGTGTTCAGGTTCAAGCTTTGACTCTCACATAACCTCTCTCCGACCAGGAATGAAAATTGGTAATAGTGAACAGTTGAATAAACTTGGTGAAGGCTGAAGTGTAATGAGTGGTGGATTAGCAACCCACCCAAGGGGAGACGAAATACTTCTTTTCATCCCATTAGAGAAGGTTTCACACGAGTGTTAAAAATAACCAGAGATTACAATGGTTTCATCAAATTTGCTCTGTGATTGGTCCAGAAAGCTAGCCCCATTCATTTCAATTAATCAGATGAAAGACTGAAAACAATATTGCAAGTGGTCAATTGTATTTTCTAGCTCTTTTGGTGGTTTGTTTGTTTTCATTTTAAGTTCTCATTGGCTAATGATAACCTTTGTTATGATTGGGTCACTGTAATTACTATGGTTTAATTTTTCCAACAGACGGTTGGAAACTGTTCTGTGTGAAAAAATGGGATGATTTCTGGCCAGATAGGTTATTAGGCTCATTTAATGACCTTACCCTTTGTTTTTCTATTTTTATCTACTGCATGGTCTCTGAGAGGTAACTGAGACAAAATTCCCAAAGGTTAATCTTACAGAGTTAAATGCGGCTTTTCTTATTTCCTAGAAACAACTGAGGCCTAGTAATTGACATGAATGGAGCCAAACACTGAGTCAGTACGCTTAGCAATTTATTTTTCTCCGTGTAACTCATCAGGTAGGCCTGGTAAAAAATTCCTGCATGACGGCATGACTAGTACAAGGATATAAATATTATGATCAATTACAGCCTCCTGTATTAAGTAAAAGTGATGATTTTTTCGTCTTTTACACACGAGCAACCTACATAAAGCCAATATACAATGATCGTTGATATAAGCTTGTTGTCGAAAAATGTCTCCGACTGCTTTCTTTATATTACCTTAAAGGTCTCCTGCCACTGACGAACGTTACTTCCACCCAAAGTTCCTGAAGAGGACGACATTGGAGTCTCGAAAACTGGACCTGCTTTCGGCTCTGAATATTTTCCAAGTCCCTAAAGAAATTAAACAAGCCGGGTCGAAAACTAATATAAGTGTTACATTACCGTATGTTAAGAAACCATATTTAAAAACTGATATTTAAAACTTAATTTGTGTAAGCAATTAACAATCTAACTAAAGATTTTCAGTAAGTTGATACTTTACCTGTGGTTGATAAGCGGTGGTAGCTTCGGCAGAGACTACTCTGCCCGCAAAAGAGCTCTGTTTATAGAACATCAGCCAAGGCACCTAAGAGATGTTCAGGAGAAAATGGCGTAAAACACAGCGTCCACTTGCAAGGAAGTGTGGGTAATAGCTTTTATTTGGTTGTGTAATTGACACAAAATTTCCTCACGCAGTATTGTGTTGGCAAAGGATGGGAATTCCGTTGAGGTAATTCCGTATAACCTCAACAATAATAAAAACAAGCCCAAAAATTTAAGCCTACTCAACAAAAATGGAAAAATGATATAAAGCAGCTTCACAGAGGTAATTGAAAACGTGAGCAATATGTAAAAAATTATGGATGAATCTAGTATCATGTTTATAAACTTCAGTCTGACATGACTTGTATTTTCAACGCAAGCCCATGAAAAGGAATTTTTTTTCTTTATTCATAAAAAAAAAATTACATTTTAGAATTTAAGGCGCATTAACTTTTTTCTGCTCTGCTGTGAATGGGGCTGAAAAAAAAATTAAGGACTGGTCATGGGTGCGCGATTAGCCAACCAGATTCGAAGATTTTAGCTTTTGGTCCGATGAGGAAAAAATGTATAGATTAGTAAGTTATACGAGGCAGTCATTTTGAATTGTGTTTGGAAGTACGAAGTTGGGATGGGACGAATAAGATTTTGAAAACTGGACCTGTATAAAACACCAGAGGGCGAAAGACTCCTTACGGTTTATAGCCTATAATGTGATGCTAACCTTGCAAAGTGCATCCACTAGGGTATATTATGTCATCGCGAGTTATCACATTCACGTTCCCGTCGTATAACACATGTCACGGAACGCACGATGAAGAAGGTGATTCAAGCCCAGTCCTCCACGTCAAGGGTGTCTTTCAAAATGGCTCCCTCGAGAAGTTGAGGCTCGGTACTGGAAAACAGGAAGTTTCCCTGGTTTTATTACCTTGCTACTTACTTATGATGGATTTGATTTTAAAGCCATGAGTAATTATGGAAACAGGTGAGGATGTTTTGGCATCTGAGGAAGGAACTCGCGGTGGACCGAGTAATTGCGAAGGCGGTATACGTGAAGTTGCACGTCGGCAGGATCATCGAACCAGTCGGAAGAAGAAGCTTTCAAGAAAGGTTTCCTTCCCTGAAGATGCCTTTCTAGTCCGGGCTGTGGACCCAGTTGACCCGTGGGAAAATGGTTAGTCCAAAGCACTCGATGATTTCATTTTATGGTGAACTACACATCAATATGCCAATAGACTTGCGTTAATATAAATTTTAGTTGAGCTCCAGTGTGCCTTCACTCCATAGGGTGACTTAAAAAAATGTAAATATTGGTCTTCGTGCTTTAAATCGGTGAGCTCTGATTTGCGTGACTTGGTTTGTCTTGCATTTTTTTTCTATTGTATGCATGGCTTATTTTTTTGCAAACTATTTGCTCCCGAAGCCGGGTTGAAGAACGTTTTCGTTATCACTCGTTTATGTCTTTGAGTATAGCGGTGAGCGTAACATTTTAGTCGCTTATAATGGGCAGTAATTGGGAATGAACTTCTCGCTCTTTAAATCTCGTTTATATATTCATTTATGTGCTTCAAAAGCTTAATGAATCAGTACTGGCATTTTGCCCGAAGTATTACGCGACATCGAGCGCAAATCGTGAAAACGAGAACACGAAATGTATGAAGGAATAGCAAATTTCCGGTTCAGGCGGTATTTCTCTAATTGTTGGTATATGTACGTTATTTTTTCATGTGATAAGCAGACGTTCGTTGTGGTGGTCGTATTTTCTTTGATGCTTGATTTGTTTAAACCGCAATGATGAAATGTGGAATTTTACTGCCCTTCTTAGAAAGGTCTCCAACATTTTTCTAGGAACGGAAAATGAAAAATCTGTGAGCGCATTATTTTACTACATAGTCCCAAATTTATGTTAATCTGAAACTGGTCAAATGATAACATAATTTTTCACTTTTTTGTTTGGGATTGATGAAGAAAACCTCAGGCCCCTGACTGCATTGCTGCTGGAAATAATGCTTAAGAAAATGTCAAAAATTAAAAAAATCAATTTATCTTCTGATTGAAATAAAAATGGAATGAAATCTTTTAAAGATATTATCAAAGTTAGATATATCTTTGAAGGCTCAACCATGATTACAGTGTGTTATAACCAGCAATCAAAATCAAGCATTCAGAAACCAAAAGTACTCAATCTTCATTTATATTCATGATAAACTTTGGAACTCAGGGTTACGAAACCCAGTTGAAACCTTTTCCTCATGAAATACATTGTTATTTTTAATTGAACAAGAAAGTTTAAAAAAAAACTGAATGAGCAAATTGTTTCTGTGGATTCCTACAGGGCATGAGTGATTTGTGACCTTCAAACTGTCTAATCCTCATAGAAAAAAAACACCTTGTAAAAGCTTATGGCAAATGGCAGGGTTTGGATTTCTTGGAGGTGTAACTCTGTCTTTTTTTCTCTTAGGAAATTCATGGCATTTGCCTAATGATATTCTTCCATTCTTTATAAACTGTCACATGCACTGTGGCAAAAATTTCCTCCTGCCAAAAGGTGTGAAGTGCATTTGAACCTTAAGCAATGTGCTGTCCATGAAAAACCCACATCATTAGCATTTTCTAATTGAAAGGGCAATTGTAGGCAAGCTCCTTAGATACTTGATAGATATAGCCAAGGCCAGAAGGGTATTTGCAGTGCAAAATTAGTTCCACAACCTGGGTCTTATTTGCTTATCAATGTTTAATATTTACTAATGCATGTATTCATTTATTTTTGTTTGTTTATTGATAAATTTGAACCAAATAATGACAGGTTAATTGGCATAATTGGGTCAATGATTTTAACTCACCAAAAAGTGAATTTTGCTTTCTCTTTGCATGTCCCTTAAAATACATGCCATCTTAAGTTTCAAAGCAATTGATGTGGCAAGGAGCTCTGTAGTGTCACTTAAAAGAGTATGTTTTTGTTTCCCTAATCCACAAAAATTTTTTGCAAATTTTGTGTTTTTTGAGACTTGCTGAAATGAGTAAGACCACAACTTCTTTTTGCACAATGACATATAGCCAGAGAGATTCAAGAGATCCATTGGTTCCAAGGCTTATCAGTTCAAGAGTCTTCTGTCTGTCCTCTCCTCTTAAAAATAAATTTGTCATAATATGCTTACATTTCAGCTGGACATCACAGCAGCAAAGAAGTAATAGATGCTTATAGAAGTACATGCATCAGACTGAAGATTAAACCTTGTGAAAAGCTCATTAAACAGCTTGAGGTATTTTTAAAACAAAGCTTTCTTGCCTCTGTATATTTCTGTGCTTTACACAGTCATGAAGCTGGTTATGGTGAATGGCAGATGCACTTCAAAGGTCATGGAACAATAAATTATAAGTTCTGTACAGAGTGCCCCTCAGAAAAGGGTTTGAATCCATTTTTCTACTTAGTGGAAAATGATATTATTCAATAAAAGACACAGGCATACTTAGAAAAAAGAACTTTGAGTGTTCCCAATAGGAGTGGAACCTATGACCTGGAATGGATGGTCTAATTAGTACTGTGAATGCACTATCACTCATATATACGCTGTAAGAGACTTGTGGTAGGCTCGCCCATCGTTAGAATTTTTCCATGACCTGTATTCAAGACAGTTTTGGGAAAATTTGGTTATTTCAAACCAGAAATATGTTGGATTAATGCATCTAGGTCTGAGTTGCTGTTATGAGTCGTCTCTTTCATGGCATTCATTGCTTTGACTCATAAAAATCTTTCTTTTATGCAGGCTTGTGAGAGTTTTGCAGAGAGAATAGATGTAATCGACTTGAGAGGTACTGTACCAGTAAATAGACTGCCCTAAATTGTTTTAATAATTGAATGTCAAAATTTCAGTTTCTACTGCTTTTGTTAACAGCTTCTTTGACTTGTAGGTGTTAAACTTGACCCACGGAACTGTGAGGCTTTGGAGGAAGTGTTCAGAAGGGTGAGAACCAAGACATTGGATCTTGAAAACACAGGACTTGAGGATGATGTGAGTTCATTTGGATTTGTTTTGTATTTTTTTTTTCATATAAATTATGTGAATTGCATGAGAAGTGGCTTCTCTTACAGTCATTCCAAGCCATGGCTCTTGTCCACAGGAAGTTCTGCTTTTCTATGTTTAATAATCACTAGAAATATGTCCATTTTCATATTCGGAGTATATGATAAATACACTGTGCAAGAGAAGAATGAGTGCAAGAGAGAAATGAATGCAAGGCTTTCTTTAGTAAATAAAGGTTAATTTCGTGAAATGCCAAGAGACATTGAGGGAGACACAGTTACCCAATGGCTAGCAGGCTGGTTTGGGGTTTAAGAGGTCTTAACCCAGACCTGACTGGGTCACTATGTTTTGATATTTGGCAAGACACTTTGCTCTGTGGTTCTCTCTACTAAAGAAGGTCAACTATCAGGAGAGGGGGGTCTGGGTTTGAGACCTAGCTGGGTCATTGTGTTGTGATCTTGGGCAAAACACTTTGCTCCCACTGTGGCTCTCTCCACTTAAGAGTATAAATGGATATAAATGAACTATTGGGATACTCGGCAAACTGCAGTTTGGTAATCTGTGATGGACTGGCATCCATTAAGGGGAATTGGCCATACTCTCTGAGGCTTCTTGGAAACTGGAATAAGCTGCAACAAGGCTGGCCGCTTGGGTCAATGTTGCTGACTTTACTTTCCCCTTGCTGGGTGGCAATGCTGTTGTGTTTCAGCAAAGAACAATGTTTTAAAAGGAACATGAAAGAACTTAAGTCACCACTTAACTTGACCTAATGAAAATAACATGGACAACAGAATATATTTATACTGCTAGTTACATAACACTATCTAGTGAAGGTGATCACACTAAATTCTCCACAAGTTAATGATACATATCAACACTAAGCTTAGGTGCTATTTACAATCAATACCATAAATTCCAGACAATGGAATGGCAATTGGTTGTAGAGAAACAATGGAAGGGGAAATTAATGCACTCCAGAAGTCACTTCCCAATCCTTAGAATTGATTGTACAGGAGGCTCTACTTTCGTGAATTGTTCTCTCCTTTACATGGTATTTTGAAATAAATTACGATTATTGTTTTGTTTTGAAATTCATAATTTTTTCTATTTTGTGAACAAAATGGCTGGTACTTTGTAGGGTGCTGTTTCATTGCTGGAAATGATTGAATACTACAAATCAACATGCAACCTAAACATGGCATACAACAGCAAGATAAAGATCAGAGGATGGCAAGCTGTTAGTAGAACTTTAAAAAAGGTAAATAGTATTTGGAGAGCTTTTGAGAGAGAATGTTTAATTTGGGAATCAAAAGATGTGTATCAAACCTACCTTACACATGTTGAAGACTGCATCATGTAAATGATGTTTTTCCCTCCTCAGACTCCCTGTTTACAATACTTGGACATACGTAACACAGTTTGGACAGAACAGGCTCTTCCTCTCTTGGGGCGCACACTCAGGCTTGACTGCTGTCTCAGTGTGTTGCACATGGAGGGTTGTAATCTGTCAGGGAGACCACTGTTTCTGCTGGGTATGTAACATCTACATTCATCCTGTAACAGTTTGTGTGTTGTTTGTGTATAGTAATCTTAAAAAGAAAAGACTGCTTTGAGTAGGGATTATTAAGAGTGCTTGTAGCCTTTTTTTGTCTTGTGATGCTATGGACTGGGAGAGAGGGAATGTTTATTGTAGATCCTCTAATAAGTTTGCCCTCTTGTCCTCTTTTTTGTATTATATGATAATCTGAATTACACAATCATGCATTTTGCTTAGTGCTTACTACTGATCTGTCAGAAGACAGATGTATGCATGATGTTGCAGTTAACAACATTTTTCTTTTTTACCATATTAAACAAAAATGGACTCTATGTTGCTGTGCATCTGTACAGTAATAGATCATAGATGATGCCAAAATGTAGTAAAAACATTAATGACTCACACAGTTGTGCCTTGTGTGCCACTTTGTATTCTTAGCACATTTTGACATCATTTGTGAACTAGTACTGTACAGACAAATGGTAATATAGAAGCTATTTGTTAAATGGAAAATCTGGAATTCTTCGTCTCAAGGACCTTAATGATATGAATGATAATAAATGGAAATAAAATGAAAATAAAATAAAATGTGATCTTTAATTGGATGATTTTTTTTAAAAATAAATTTTGCCATTTAAGTGATTATTAACCAACCTAGTTTGAAAGTGCCATAATCTTGTTTGATCTCATGGTGGCTGTATGAAAGAAAAACCAAAACAAGTAATCAATAACATACTTTGCTTTGTTTTCTATCAGATTATGATTTAAAATATCTAAATTTGTGTTGGTCTGAATCTTGCCTCTTAGTCAGTGCAGTAAAGTTTAACCAGAATCTCAAAGACTTGTTCCTGGGAGACAACAAACTAACATCACCAGATGGGCAGTCATTGGGTGCTATGCTAAAGGGTAATGGATATCTTCAATTGCTTGATTTAAGAAATAACCCTTTACAGGTGAGACACACTACATGTAATAAAATAGTATTTTTCTTTTTAGGGTCAGTAGTCAACATGTTCTTGAATTCAGGTTTTGTTTTAGGATGCAGTTTGATTGGTCTTGGAGGACATGTGCCATGTCTTCATAACTATCATGCATGACTTGAGAAGATGTGTTTTTTTGTGCTTGAATCAAGCTGTTTTTATTTGTTGACTGAAGTTTTGTTGACTCTCTGTAAAATTGATTGCTATTCTGGCCCCAGTCGTTGGAAGGGTGGATAATGCTATCCAATGCATAGATCTCTGTCTGGCTGACAGCGTGGCATGCTTTAATAACACTTATCTGCTGCATAGCGATTTATCCTTGGGATAGCATTAAATAGCATCTATTGATAATGGATGTTTTAGTTTACCACTGGGATGTTTCCTGTGCTACTTAGCATGTATAAAATGATTTTTTATCCTTTTATGTCACAAGATGTAACTATATAAACCATTTTATTAACACCTCAGTTTCTGTGATAGTGTTCTTTAAAATAACCTCAAACTGACCTCTTTGTTTTGCAGGACATGGGTATTGGTTATATTTGTGAGGGTCTAGCTGAACAGCCTCATGGTGGACTACAGACACTTGTGCTGTGGAATACCCAACTAACTTGCCATGGAGCAATGTTCCTGGCTAATGCTTTGGTGAGTTAGTGCATGTCTTTACTAAATCCTTAGTCCGACTTGAGTTTTAATAGTGACTCAGCTTAGTGTCGTGTCGATTTATGGAGGCCAAAATAAGCTCTGGTAGAACTGGATACAAAGGCTGACCTTAAAAGTGAACTAAGCTTAAAGTAAGTGGTTTTTACTGTATGATATGTTTATGACCAAAGTAAATTTATGGTTTGTGTTTTAGGTAAGCACCAGCTCTCTTCAAACTCTTAATCTCGGACACAATCGATTGACTAACGAGGGAATGCACACATTAAAGGAGGGTCTTTTGAGGAACCACTCTCTTGAAAGACTTGGACTGTTGAATACAAGACTCTCTAGCGAAGGTGAAGGAAAAAAACTTATAATGACCTTAACAACAAAGCAAAAACATGTTTTACAGTTTTTGTCGTCGAACACAGTTTGAAATTGTCTTCTTCGTTCAAATTACTTGAAAGCTGATGTTTGTCGACTTCAAATTTAGCACAATGACATTAGTGATTACTTGAACCCTTGGTAAATCTTTTATTGCTGCTTATTCAGTTAAACCTGGTTAACTTAACATGTTTTGCTGGTGTGAGTGGGACATTGTTTGCGTTGCACGTCTCTTATTAGGAAGAGCGAGTGAGAGGTACAAACTAGCGACTGTTCACGGAGTTCCCGTAAATTTTTCTCATTCCTACATTGGAAAAACAAATGTTTTGGCGACAGAAACAGAATATAACGTCCAGTAATTTTACCGAGATACGACCCTAAAGGCAAAGAATTGTTTAAGTCTGTTCTAAACAAATGTACGTTCACAACACCGATTACCATAAACACCCAGATATGCTCCTTCTCTCTAAATAAGCTCTTCTCTCTTGCGAATACCCCGTCTGAAACTTTTAGTTTCTCCTAAGGCCTTCTAATGAGCTCCGCTCCCCCCCTCTGCCCCTCGCGTTTGTCAAGGTAGTTTTTTTTAAATCTGTTTCTGCGGCTAATTTCCAGTCTTCTGCCGTTGCAGGAATAATTGCACTTGCTGAAGTAGTCGCAGAAAGCAAGACTATTCTAAGAGTGGACCTCCGTGACAATGACCCATATGTTGGAGGGCTGATGGCTCTGTCGTTGTCACTGAAAGTCAACAAGTCCCTTGTGCGGATAGACCTGGACAAGGACCTGAAAAAAGAGCCGGTAAGCTTGCTGTACCAGCATGCTGATGTGCGTTGAAATAACTAATTGGGCTCCTACGAAAAGCGTGGGCGTCTCTCACCTAACTCCATTTCTCATGCTAAATATTTGCATGAATGAACAATGAGTAGTGATGAGAAGTAATGCATTTAACTTCGATTAGGAGCGACTTACGCCAACTGAGTCCCGTCCACAGTCCTCTCACCTAGACGACCAGTCTACACGGTCGACTGAGATTCAACCATATATTCAAGATAATTTGTATTTATCAATTGACTAGAAGTTGTAAACTGGCTACTCTAAAGAGTTTCTAAAGCTGGCGTTTCGACCGTTCGGGAAAGACGAAGGGCTGCCTCTCTAAGCGTGAGCTTTAGAAACTCTCTACGGTGGCTAATTTACATCATCAACATAGTTGTTGAGACTAAATTATCTTGTAATGAGCCCCATCGACGCAGGACCACAGTTTCTAAGAAACTTACCCCTAATATTCATTTGTTGTATGATTTTCTCTCCGAATGACTTTAGACTACTGAGGTTCAGTATAGTATGGGGGAACAGAGTTGGACTTAAGCAGCGTATAAACTTTACTTTTTCAGACCTAAGTCCGGAGATTTAGGAAAGTCTTCTGAGGATCTCATATGACGCAGAAGGAGTTGTGATGTGTCAAGTTTGTCACTATCATCTTTTAAGGCTTTTTTTTGTCTTTCACAGGGCATGGAAACAACACAGAGGATTATTCTCGCTGACATCTACAGCTATTGCCAGCGAAACAAAGTTTCAGCCAAAGAACGAGAAGAAAGAGAGCTGGCTACTGAAAGCCAGACTGAGGAGGGAAAGATCAGTGAAACAGACAGCATTATCCATGATGTCAAAGAACACGTAACAGATGCGGTGTCTCACGTTGAAAACGAGACCGCATCTGGCTCGCCGAAGCTGATTCAGTTGGAGAACCCTCCGGATATTGCACAAGAGCTTAAAGTACTAACATCGGACTATCCTGGCCTGTCACGATTCACAGTTACGGCTGTATCAGATGAGGAACAGCAGCCAAACCAAGACGGTACTTTTAGCGATGAGGACTTTGTTCCCCTTGTGGATTTATCAAACACGAATTGTTCGTCAAACGAGCAAGATATAAGCGGTTGCAGTATGAGCGTGAACGATGTGTTACGTGACAAGGTGTCAAGTGTTTCGCTGAGTGACACGGACGCCTCTAACAGCACAGTCAGTTCACTGTCGCAACCCACCGCATCTCCATTGATTCCTGCTCTGGTTCAGAGTGATGAGCGGACTTCAGGTACAACATATGTCTTGAACGCCATATTAATTCCTGTTTCCCCCCCCACCTCCTCTTACTAGCAAACGCCTCGTCTTGAAGTGAATTATTTCTTTGCTCTTCTTTCCGAGCTAACCAATCCAATTGCGTTGAAGGAAATTTCCCTCAGGTTGCACACATCGACTTAAATTAGTAATGTGACCATTCTCTTTCAAGATCCTGCCGTCATATCATTTTGGCGATAACCATACATTCCTCATGTGTGAGTTCTAATAATTTTAGTTTTGTTTAGGGAATACTTCCTCCACTTCATGATAGTTGTCTTCATCGGCTTATTAATGTGTTTTTCTCGCCAAGTTGCTTGTGATCCCTCTAGGCGTCCCCAGGTTAAACTCTTGCCATGTGTCAGAAACTCTTCTTTTAAACAAAGGCTGAAGGAAAAAGATTCATGCAATTTAATATGAAACCTGCTTTCGTAAAATTTGCCATGAAACTTTCTATCAATGCGAGCGAACAATTGACGCATCTTTTTTCCGAGACGATTTTAGTACTACACTTCCTTTAGATATGGTTAGAGTGTTACAGCGATTTGAAAATGGCATAAGAACCTTCCCTTACTGATCAGGTCATATGGATTATATTTAGCACAGTTTTTTCTTATTTTGTTTTATATCACTTCTGCAGCCTCTTCTCCTTTACCTGAAGGAAATAAACCAGAGCTGGACTTGTTGAGCAGCGTGTCTGTCAAGGAAACAAATCACAATCCACATCTCAACCATGCAATCAACAATCAGGGTGCGTCTGTGTATCGAAGAACTTGAAGTGTTTCCGGACGAGCCCGAAGCGCTTCCGATACTTTTGTAGTGTAGGCGTAGGTTCCTTTCATGCGCAAAACCTTAACATTTTCATTTATATTGCCTTAAATGTTAGACGGATTTAAAAAATTATAATTTAAGGTTTATAGAATATTAGATTTCATTCCTTTGTGATTTTTTCCCCTTTTTTAGATTTTTGGACAGGCCAAATGGACGGCTTGATGATAGGCTCAACAAAGTTGCCCACCCCTCCCTCCACAGTGTCTCCGAATAACGACGGTGCCGTAGTGGACCTTCTTAGCTGAAGGAGAAATTGAATGCATTTTTTACAGACAAGCATTTTGAAGATTTGTTGTCGTAGAGATCAGCATGGCTTATTCGCTGCGGCGATTTGACCTACAGGCTGTACCGTAGTATTAATTATTGAGGAAAAAATGCTATTATTACCAACTCCTTATGAACTTAACAAATTCAGTTTATTTTATAGATCGTTGGGCGAAAAGCTTTGAACCATGCCACATTTTGTTCGAAGCTCTTCATAAGACAATTTTGATCTTACGGAAAATTTTGCAGCGAGCGAGGTAATTTGAAGAATTCAAAAGTAAATAGAGCCTGTCTTGGTATGTATTTGTCTTTATGGTAAGCGATTTCGTGACATTTTGGTTTCCAAGATAACTAGTCACGCAAACGTTTGCAATGAAAATGACCTTAGCAGTGCTAGATGAAATATTAAAGAACGTTTTGTTCAATGTCAGTCACGGGCAACTGCGCCCCTACCCCTCCCCCCCTCCAACCTAACAACAGTCAGTTGGTAATAAGTTGGAGTTCATGTTGAGTTAGGGGGGAGTGGGGGTAAGTGCGCAGTTGCTTAGACATTGACATTGATCCCAACTTTTTGTATGTTTCCTGTTTTATATTCGGAGGAAAAATTGAAAAAAAGCTGTAGACTTAAGTTTGAACTAGTTATAGCTAGAACATCTGCGTCTCATCAAAGGTAAAACCATAACTAAAGATGTCTTGATCTTTTTCCGTCAATGATCTGTCTTTCTATGAATTCTTCCTTGTACCGTCTCGTTTACGTCTCCTTTTCCCCTTCCCTTAATGTTATATAGCATGGTAAATTGTCTGAAGTGAGCTCAGCTTAAGTGGTGTTAAAACGCAGTGTAGATTTTTTTTGTTGTAGTATGAAATTCTCCTTACTTGTCGTGAAAGAAGTGTATGGTACGGCTAAGGAGAGTTCACATCTTAAGCTAGATGTTAGAACGATTTCCACAGAAATGACAAAGAATTTTATGAATTATTGCAAATAGTTATTACTTTTTTTAGCCTTTATTAAGATTATGTTAAAACCTTTACTGCAATACAAACGGGAATACTTCTTTGTTATTAGGAACTCTGGACATACACTTTATTATTATTGACTCATTAATAGATTATCCGTCATTTTACACGCTAAAAAATGGATCACGAATCCAAAGAAAGCATTTCTTGAATCATTTTTCCCAACGAAAAATCTCGTCGACTTCCTTAGTGTAATAAACGAGTGAAACCGTGGTTAGTAAGTCTTATTAGCTGTGAAGAACGAAGGGCGAAACCAGTTTACTATGGTCACAACCTAGATGCACACCCCACGACTGTGTTACCGCGCCTTGCCAGGCGACCTCCTCTATGCACTTGGTTCAAAGTCCTACCATTCACTCCATACGCAAATGCGTCGAGCTAACGCCACCTGTTCAAAGGTGGTTGCTAAGTGGCCTGGTCGTCGACTGACGATATGTCCCAGGTAGCTAAAGAACAGGGGTAATTTTATTACATTTACCCATGGAGAGAAGTGCAAAAACACTCCCCTCGCGCAAGCTTGCGTTTGTTTCCCTGAAAAAGGCAGAATATAATGCAGGCTTTGTCCTTTCCATCGGGTTTGCTTAAATCTGCTCCCTGATTAGTGTAGATCAACCGCGTCGGCCTCTCAGCCAATCAGATGCAACATCGAAATCAAACTTTTGCGTTTTAGAGTTTGGATATTTTCCTTTTCTTCAACTACTCTCCTTGAATTAGCTAAATTAAAGTAGCACACTGAGAAACCAGACAAATCAAATGAAATCGCTTGACAATTCTTTTAATTTAAATTACGCATTTACCTATTTATAGAGCAACAACATATTTTTTAAAGAAAATGTCTACCTAGAGATTTAACAATCAACATTGTTGTAAGTTTGGTAAACAGTTGAAACAAACGAGTGAACTTCCCCACTGCATCATGATACAGCTGAAATATTTGCCTTCCGCCCCTTCCCGAATGTGATCAGTCACCGTAAAATGACTGAAACAGCCTTAATTCTGTTGAACTTTGTTGCCTCGGTTCACAATGAGCAGCTTTGACAGAAAAACAGAAAGAGCGCCTTCCAATCAACAATTTCCGTTAAGGTAAACATTTACAAGGCACGATATAGGAATAAGCGATCCACAATTACACGCGACTATTTTGAAAGGCGCATAAGATTACTACAGCTAATGAAAGATAAACACAAACAATAAATTCATGGCAAAAGGACGGAAACCGCAAGCAAGGCTTCTCTAATGATGTCACGCGAATCATTACAGTGACATGTTTTTGGAAGAGTCGACTCGAACTGGCCTAATTTAAGTGGAATCCCTTCTCTCTTGTGGCTGCCAGGAGCTTCTCTCGCATGGCCTCTTCCGAAGAGTATTCCGGAAGTTTAAGGTAATGTACGCACGTATTAACAGACGGGAAAGAGCCATCTCCTTCACTCTCCTTTCTCACAACAGTGAGGCGAGGATGAAGATTGGCGAGACCGCCTGGAGGCAGGGACGAACAACCTGTGGTGAACTGGAGGAACGCCTGATGGGAAAAAAAAATTGTAGAGGTTTAAGATAAAATAGAAATAATAGAAAGGCTGATACGGCTACATAAGCATTAACCTCAAGTAGTATAGCACTCGTTTTGAACGCAATCCGCACACGTTCATCGCATCGGCCAGACTCGAACCCAGACCTCTTACTTCACGGTCCAACGCGCTAATTACTATGCCACCGCGCCTCTAACAGACGCGATCTGACGAACCAACGACGACAAATACACTACCATTCATGCAAAGACGCTACACACAAGCATGAACTATTTTCTTACTTTTCTCTCGTCGCCAGTCATGTTAACCAGCACATTCACAAATCTCTGAAAGCCAGGCGCTTCCCGTGTGTATCCAAACTTGGGCTCGGTGTAGTTCATTATGTCTTCCCTGGTCCATTGTGGAACCTGTTCTCCACTCAACATTAGCTGTAGCTCGTCTGGAGTGAATGGACTAAGTTTCTCGATTGGAAACACGGAGTTGAACCCATCTGCAAAACGAAGGTTGATGGTAACGCTTATCAAATGAAGGAATTACTGGTTTTCTTACCTGTCCTGTTAATTTGTTGCTGTTTTATTTTATCAACTTTTACAACCTCAGATCAAACCATTTCATCTCTGAAAAGTACGTTCCGCCACTACTTTTGCCACTCGTGGTATTTCATGTTCACTTTTGCAGAGACCAGCGATTGCTAGCTTGCAGCAGCAATCGAAACACCAAGATACTGTACAATAACTTTAAGAAAAACAACCCAATACTATATCTAAATAACTCGTAACAATCATCCCAAACAACTACAGCAATTTTCAATTGAGTGTCGAAAGAAATTCGAGATTACTCTGCTTTTGCTCCACTTCGCTCTGTGATTGGTCCAGAAAACTCATACCACTCTCTCAACCAGTCATATGTAAAATTTACAAAAATCACGAATTGATCGCCTGCGTTTCCCGCGCTTGAGGCGGTGTGACTGTTTTTTCTTTGATTTCTCATTGGCTCTTCAGGGTATTTTCCCTTCTTCTGATTGGCTGTTGTTATTACATCAGTTTTGCTTTTACGACACTCAATCGAAAAGTGCTCTCAACAATCTTCTCTCATATTTTTTCGTGAAATATCCTTTCACGACATGAAAACCTCATGGTTATTTCTACAATTCGTGAACAAAAATATTACCTCTAAATGAGTCCAACTGAAGTTGCACGCCAGTGTATAAACAGAATTCCTTGACAAGCTTTATGTATTCCTCAGCATTTTCTGTTGTTAACATCTGTTACAAATTATTATAACGAAAATCTAAGTTACAGTTATTGAGAGGCAATCATGATGAACAGGCAAAGAAGAGGAAAAGTTAAGTTACAGAATAAGTCGAACCTGCTGTGATGTGCGAATAAAAGGCAAGAGCCACCTTACACTCGGCGACTCAAGGGAGGTGAGGAGAGGGAAGAAGCAAAAATGATTTAGGACGAAACGAGAAGTTCCAGAAATGCTAAATATATTTAACAGCAAATGATGCTGTTAGAGAACCAAAACCTTACTGTGAAAAGATGAGGATACTATTGATTTTTATGACGTTGTACAACCTAGAAACTTTATTCCGTGCGCTTCGACTGTTACACTCACCGAGCGAAAAACATTTGTTTAAATCACATAAGAAAAAGACTTAAGTCAAATATTTAGCTTAATTAAAAATTCCCGTGATTTAAAATGCACCTCAAATATCAACCGTCAAATAAATTTGCCATAACAACGAGTAAAACAACTGAAGATTCACATTTTGTTCAGTAATTCTTAGGGAGCAGCCAATACTACCTCTCCCCTGAACTAGCTCGTTTCGCCCTGGCTAAAGGATCCAACGTTTTCATTCAACATCATGTTAGCTGCACACGAAACGGAATGAACAGATCAAACATTTGCTCGTGAAGCAAAATGTTGAGTGAAAACGTTTGATCTAGATAATACGTGGGGATTCATCGAAATGCAATGCCAAGAAACGTGCTTATCCCTATGACCCTTAACAGTGACTAACATCTCATTTCTCCCTACAGTTTACCCTTTGAATCAAACATGAAGGTCACGAGAATAACAAAATGATCACCAACTGAAGAAGCTTTTGATTGTTAAACAAATTCTCCTTATCAGCACATTAGGAAAATGTATAGAGAACAGTATGGAGAATGTGCAAAGTGAAATTAGGGTGTTAAGGGCTAAACGATCCAACGTTTTTGATTTCGTCACCAGCCTTCTCGACACATACCTGATCTCCACCATTCCGTACCAGGTCAACTTCGCTAAACCCGTACACTTTAGAGGACGGTGAGAATTGGAAGGTTAGCCTGGGAATGAGGAAATAAATGATGTACTTCACTATATCATCGATCATCACAATAACAACCGAGAACAAATAATATAAATAAGAAAAACACAAAATAGGGAAGAAGCAACAACTGAACAAATCGAAGTACGAGAATCGACTAATTGTAGCACGAGTTAGTATACGTTCGAGTGCAAGCACAGAAGAATATTTCCCGGTTCTCCACTCTGAATCTGACGTTTCGAGCGTTAGGTTTTTGGCAGAGCGAGAATTTGTTTCTCTTAACACCAGCCACACTCTTCACCACAGTTTCGTTCAGGAGTGATTAGAATTCGATTACTCTAGGGTGCCACATAATGAAACGATAGAAGAGTGTTTCCAAGCAACGATCTAGTCTCCATTCTCCTTGCAGATTTTTTATATCAGTAGGTTTCGACAAAATGAAATTTTCCACCTACCCCAGATCGTCAACACTGCACTCAACGCCATGAGCTGTTTTCAACTTGAGCTCCGATATTTTTGCCCTCTTCTCGTTAACCGTCAGTAAATTGTCTTTAAGAATGTCATTTTTCCTGGCAACCAATTCTTGCAGTTGTTTTAGGAAAGTCGCTCTGTGGGGATCCACCACTTCCATATCGCTGTCATCCAAGATACTATCAAACCAACATTGCTTTACAGGTGTGGACGGCATCTCTTCCACGCTTTCTTTAGTTTTTCTCAATTCAGAGTTCTCTTCCTTAGACAGCTCTTCTTCCTCTTCAATAAGCTCTCGTTCCTTGATGGAATCCAAGTCTAATTTATTGATCGCATTTTCGTTCTCTTCTACACTTGGCTGAGGTTGATCGAGCTCGTTAGTCGTGTCCGAGCACTCTACTAGATCCTCGAGTGAGCACGACGCGTCATCGATTACTTGTAAGGAGCTCCGACTGTAAGCCAATGTGGTTTTGCCGTTAGGCGGTGATGCACTACAAGCCAACAGTTTAAGAAACGATAGCGACAGCGGAATGTCCACTAATCGACTGTCCTGCAAACTTTTAGCCAAGAAAATTCCTAGGACGTAAAAGAGCTTTGCTACCCTTTCTGTGTCAGGGGCATCCTGAGGAAGGGGCGCGGGAAAGAGGCCACCGGCGCGTTGCACGTAATAGCCCCTGGGACGAATACCATGACCGATGTCCACCTGAAATAGGAAAGATGATTTAGTGATTCACTCCTTCATGTGGTGTGCACAGAGAGTAAAGAAACAAAGAAACGACCAAAAAAACAGTTTCCTTGTACAAACCTCTCTAGCAGTCTCGTCGACGATGGCATCCTCGCAAATCCACATACCCAGGCTCTTTCGTTGAAGCTCGGCCGCCACAAGCGCGTAAAACTCGAGTGAAGGCCCAAGCCCAGTTCCCTCCTCATCCTCAAACTCCACCTAAAAGAGAGCAGTGCTATATATAGAAAAAATGCATTTTCTTCTTGACGAAGTAATATGCGCTGAGCCTGGAGATAACAGAGCAGACGAGGTTCTAATGAACTGCTGAATTCAGTTCATTTACCATCACTTAGCTTGGAGACTAAGGGTCTTACTACTGATCCTGAGCGGAAGGAACGCTAATCGGGTGAAAGCTATCCCCTAACATTTCTCCAAGACAGAGCCGCGAGCAACATCTACAGTCTGCTCTCTATTCTGTCAGTTTGATTTTCAACAGATCGTATCGTTCTGCGCTTCTGTTAACGACTCCGACTGTGCATACGAAGCAAATGAAGCTTCGCCCTATGAGTAAGGAGTTCGCCTTTGAAACCTTCGCACGCTGAGTCACACTTATCACTGAGCTATCATGTCTATCACACAAGAGACCTCTGATACGATAAAAAAAACATTCATTTCAACCTCTTTCTGACTGTTAATTATTACCAGTTAGTCAGGAAAATTCAAGAGTAAATGAGGGACAGACACAAACCTCCAAAACAGACTTTCGCTCTGCATGGAATTTCAATACACCCATTGCCCAATCAAGCAACTGAAAGGCAAACAAAAATGACATTACTACTCCCAGTCGTGGAGCTACAGCCAGTCTGTCTATATTTCCGAAGGGTTTCCGAACCTTATATTCCAATCAGGCGAAAGCTCGAGCACTTACGAACAACCGGAAAGCTATAACGTGGGTCTCTTAAAGATTATCTCTCAGCATTTTGTTAGGTTCCCTAGTGCCCAGTTCTACTCCTGGGCGGAGAGAGGCACTACGAGAGTGAAGTGTATTACCCAAGAACACAACACATAATGGTGATCAATACGCATATTCTTAATACTGTTCTCTATACATTTCCTAACGAGCTGACAAGGAGAATGTGTTTACTAATGTGTAATTCGGGGTGATATTGTAAGGAGAAATTTGATGCTTATCACTCTTGGAGTTCAAAGGGTTAACGGTTAGGCCACCGCGTCTCCTCCTGCTAACATCAAAAGTTTATTTTGAACATAGCAAAACTTGCTTAACAAATCACAAATAACATATTACATATCACATAAAACGTATCACATATCACATATTACATATCACACTGCATCCCGTACTCCGTTTGTAATTCCTTTTTTCAAAACATTCTGCAAATTTCGAGGGACATTTACCTCATCTCCTCGAGGAACCTTCACACGCTCGTGCTTTAATCGACCCACTCGGAATTCGTGTTGTTCTTCTCGCCTGTGACTCAGTGGACGACTTCTTTCCAACGCTACGTCTCGTTTGTTTTGCAGCCATACTATTGCTCTGAGAAGATATGTTACACATTCACGTCAACCGATGTCTAAAGGGGAAACAACCTCAACCATTGTCACTAGTGTTAAACAATAGCCCTGAGCTATTCTAACCTCATTTGCCTGATAGGCAACTGGAGTTTTTAGAGCTTCGTAAAAATTTCGCGCCTGAAGGGCAAGCTGTGAAACTGCCGTTTTTCCCCCATGTAAGATGTCTTTGCGGCTTTCTTACCTTGAGCTACCGAAAGCCGTACAAGAAAAGTACAGCTGTCTTGTCTCAAAAGGAAACAGGAATGGAAAGGTGCTTGTCAACACTCCACTCCAGGTTGGTAAGGCATTACTGGCTAACACTAAAGGGTCCTGCAGACAAGAAAGCAATGTAGAGTTAACATACTGTAAATTCTCTTATAAGTTCTCATCTGGTCTTAGTCACCCTTTCACTCCCAAGATATAAATATCAATTTCTCTGCACTGTCTGCCATACATTTCCTATAAAATTAGCTTTGAGAATTTGGTATCATACCAAGCAACATTAATTAATTGATGTCTTTCTTTCTTTTAATCTCATCACCTTCCTGCTTGAAAATGTATCGATATTGTTAAGATAATTTTTTTTTTGATAATCGTAGAGAATGAAATAGTTAATTTCCAGGACCTTCAACTGGCGCTTAATAGACAGGGGGCTTATAATGGAGGGATGCTTCTCACAAGGGAGGGGTGCTTCTCACAAGGGAGGGGTGCATCTCACAGAGGCGAGGTTTAGTTGAGAGGGGTCATGCTGAGGTTGGAAGCCTCCTTAAAACTTGCTAAGGACTATTATGAGAGTCATTCTTATCTCCCAAAGCATATACGAGTGTGTAGATGTAACGGCCTTTTAAGGAAGAACGCAATATACATTCACAGTTGCATTTTATCGACATACGTCACTTCTTACCTGAATTTGTTGCAAAAGTTTAGTTGTTAGTTTTTTACTTGTGAAGTCTTCATTGTCTACGATAAACCCGTATTTCTCGTTACCTGAAAAGAGAGGAGAAAAATGTAACGTCTCAATATTGTTTTATGGAGGATACAATGACTAAAGAATAATAAAAAGAAAAAACAGTTATGCTAGCCAAGAAAATGTAAAATTGCACTTCTGTGAGCTACCGGACATTTTCGTAGAGGAAAAAATCGAGGAGAGAACAGTGCGAGAAAGCAAAGATAGAAAGACTTTCACTAACTATCTAATGCATGTATGAAGCGTTTGGGAAACGATTGTGAGTCACAAGGAACGGCTTCACGCGACTGCGCATATCAAAAGCAAACCAAGGTAATTCGAAACGCTTCTTCAGCTAGACATGGTTTGATGCTACTCTGGTTTGCAGATTTAATGAATGTAACCGAAGAAGTTACAATTCATAGACCCAACGTTTCGACACCCCTGTCTAGTGCCTTCATCAGGGGTGATCTAAACGATGATGAAGGCACTAGACAGGAGTGTCGAAACGTTGGGTCTATGAATTGTAACTTCTTCGGTTACATTCATTAAATCTGCAAACCAGAGTAGCATCAAACCATGTCTGATTGTCCACCTGGTTGCCATGTGAACTTTAATATGCTTCTTCAGCTGTTAGCATACAATTTAAAGAAACCAAAAGATTTTAAAAATAAGCGGCAAGCAATATGAGAATTTCGAGAGGAAAAATATCAGCGTGAATTCTAGAGAGCCGCGCAATAGAGCACCGCCCGCTAAATTGACCAATCACACATGCTTGGTAAACAGATAAAAACACTAATTGAAAGTATTTGGTCTCACCATCTTCTCCAAAGTCATGCGCAGAACTTGTAGATATACTATTTAAGACTTTCAGAAGCTGTAGAATATCTTCAACTGCGGAGATGTCGTCAACAGGGGCAGGCTCCGTGGATGTTTTGTCTTGTTTCACTTCCTGTTCTACCTCCTGTTTTAATACCGGTTTCTCAAATGGAGGAGAGCTAGGTGGGGACGAGTCTAAATTGTTGCAAAATTCCTGACAGGAAATAAAAGAGCAACGGATGAGGAGAAATTTTCCTAACAACCCCCTTCCCCTAAAAAGAAAAAAATCAGAATTCGTTACGCACAGAGTCAGTCTCAATAGATCCAAAAAAGTTATACATTAAATCATAGTAATAATTTTTTTCCTTTGAATCAAGGCGAAACTGCTTTGTACAAGTAAATCCATCACTACTATCAACAACCATCGTGGAAAATTGATCTTAAAGGCGTGGACGCCAGGGTTACGTATACAAGTTGAAGTGACATGGAGATTTTGCGAAAATTTTTGTTCCTGAAACAGACCTATGTCCACGTGTCAGTTTGCTTGCATTCAAACTGTTCACGATTTCATGGCTCATAAACTGAAGGTCGAGGACAATGCAAATAAGATTTGGTTTATTTTTGCCTTCACCCCAGGAAGTCTTCAAGTGTCATACCTTGTAGGCTGCCACGAGTTGAGAACAGTTCCTGTTCTTCCTTATGCTCTTAGGTACGCCTGTTAACTTCCATTTTCTTAGGAATGCTGCGTCAGCATTTCTTTGAAGGAACGAGATTACCTCAGACTTAGGGAGCTCATCAGTGCCCAAATAGCGCTCTACATATGATGTCGTCCAGTGAACCTATGTGTCAATCAAAACTAAATCAATTAAATAATCTACGATTCAGTCGATGATTTAATCAACGAAATAGTCAGTAACGGGTCAGTTTGGTTTCTCCGAGTCAGTAAGTAATCGAGAGAAAATCAGTCAGCCAGAGGCAGTATGACAATCAATCAGTTAGTCGGCTGGTGCGTCACTGAGTCAGTTTATCAGTCAGCCGTTCAGTCACTCTGTCAGACTGTCAGTCAGTCGGCCAGTGACTCTGTCAGTCTGTCTGCCTGTCGGTCAGCCGGTTAGTCGATTATTACGACAGAGCTTCCGTTAATTGCTTTCACAGTTGGCTTTTTACTCCACTTGATCGACAGATCCTGCCACTGTTTACCTGGTGGTCTTGTGACAGCATATCAACATTAAATCCTACCGTAGTTTCGGTCTCTTCTTTGGTTTCTCTTGGGTTTTCTTCTTGGTCAGGGCTGTGTACTTCACGATAGACGACGCTAGATGAAAAAAAAAAATATATATATATATGCATAAATAGATAAATAAATAGATAAATAAACAGATAAAATTAACTTGTACGAGGTTACATGCACGCAAAAACAAACTCCAGCAAGTAGCCGACCTTAGTGTGCCTCACTTTTTGCCTTTATATACCTACACTACATGTCTCTGATAACACTTACGTGTAAGTTGGTTCCCAGACTCTCCGCATTCGCTCATTTTTAGATATCCCAGTAGCCAGTGCGACCTTTTGCACATAAGAGAAAATGGTGGCCTTAGGGTCATCTAAACGAATTTCCACCTCAGGAAGCTTGAAAAAGAAAAAAGACAACAACAAACTCAATATCAAGAAGTATCATTGTTTGTCTCGCAAAATGGTTTGGCTGGATGTAGAGCGAGACGTCTCTACTGCATGTTGCGGTTCTTCTTAAGGTTGCGTCTGGTAGGTATTACCTTGTTACATACAGCACGGTTGCATGCTGTGCTGTGATAGCTTGGTTTTCAACAGCTGTGATTGGTGGATTTGTTGATCATAACAATGAATGCTTGGAAGCCTAAATTTGAGAATTGATTGACGTAAAATAAGCTGATAAAGGCGAGGCTTTTCACAGAATTATCGACTGGTTTCGAGGCACAGACATACGGAAAGCTAGGACAAAAGCTTCCATCTTCATGCATATTTTGTGTTCACTGCTTTCAGTTTGCGGGCCGTTTACGTCAAGCTACTAGAAATAAAAAACTATTTATAAACAACATAACTGTTTAAGCTAGAAAAAAAGTGCCACGTCTAATGACAAAACTCAGTATCTTGAATAGGCTCCAACAATAACTAGTTGAAGAATGGTTTGCAATGAAAACAAAACAAAGACCTTTACCGTTAACGAAGCAGGTCCCTTGAGAGTCAAGAAAAGGCGAGGTTCTACTGTTGGAGGTGTCATCTCTGTTGAACTACTTTCTTGAGAACCTGTTGAAGATATTGACACGATTGAATTTCCCTCCATGTTTTTGATCCCTTGAACTAGACGCAATTGATTTTAGTTTTAAGTTTAGTTCGACAAGAGAGTGGCGCAAGCTTTGGGAGCCAATCAGAGAACAAAGCGAAGCTAAATCAACACAATCCACGATTCCTTTCGGCACTCAACTAAAAATGGCGCTGTTACGTTTTAGTGATGGTCTAAAAAGGGCATTTCAAACTTTCAGCCTGAACACTACCTGGTGTAGGAATCACAATATCCTGAGTTTGCGCAATGTTGGTTCGTCCTGGTCTCGGATCAAACGCAGGCACTAGCGCCGAGAACTGCCTCTTGAGCACGTGCTCGTCATCCCACGTTCGGCGACGTCCACCACGTGACTCGGGCTCTTCTTCAACCTAACGATCAAAACGCAAACACCATGACGTTACAGACACACTCCTCTCACTGACCGTTGAATGTTATCGTTAATGTCAGTTTTGATATACCACTGGAATAAAAGTTGTGCAAATGAGCAACGGTGAACTTTATTCAAACACGCAAAGTAAAATGAGCTGTTAAGTGGAAACTTTTGTCATGAGCCATGAACCACTCCCATGAGTGACCACGACAAAATTTCTCCTTCCCATATCAATATAGTGTCAAGCAACTGATTATGAGAATAATGAAAAATAGTTATTAGGAGATTATTAGTTGATCTAGTGCCAAGTTCTCTGAACTAAAATTAAAAGAATTGTATGGCAAACAAAGAGGATAATTACTGATGAGATCTTGAGGCGAAAGGGTCTCGTTCCTTTCAGTTTTACTGCCACCACTTTGGAGCATTTCCCCCTTGTGAGAACCCTCTACACCCTAACATTAGTATGTACATTCTTCATACTGTTCTCTATACATGTCTTCAGGTTTTGACGAGGAGAATTTGTCTAATAATCAAAGGCTTCATTAGCTGGTGATTATTTTCTTCATTCTTTTGACCTTAACATGAGATTTAGGAGTAATATTGTTGGGAGAAATTAGATGCAAGTTGCTCTTAAGGGTCAAAGTGCATCAGGATATTTTTCTCCGTTGTCCAAACTATTTCAAAGGTGGTAACGTTGATCCTGTCAACAAAGACTTATTAATCCACTCACTTCATAATCATCTTCATTCTCCTCATCATTCTCGTCATCGTCATCATCGTCATCGTCGTCGTCATCATCATCGTCGGGTTCAGGAAGGTCATAATCATCCTCAAGTCCTGTCAACAGCCCTGAACCTCTCATAGCCACGTACATGTCCAAGTCAGAGGCCCGGGAGAGGCTGCTGGCTGCTGAGTTAGCCTCAGATACAGCTGAGCTCAGTAATCTGTAAGGAAACAGACGTTGTTAACTCTTTGAGCTGTAAGAGTAATCAGAAGAAAACTTTCTCTTCATAAAATCCGTTCATTATCAGGAGTACAGGTCAGGAGAATCAGGGAAATGGTCATCAAAGAAACTTTGCCTGATCTTCAACGAATGCTTACGAAATGTATCGGAGGAAAATAACTGATACTAACGACGAGAATTTATATGTTGACTATGGAGCTTTGAGGGACAAGACTTTACTCCCAAGAACGATCAAAAAATAGCCTTTCCTCTCAATCGCCATTACTTATCAAGAAAACTGATCAGGATGGAAAAACGCAAAAACTGATTGTTATCATCTTGATGTAACACCAACTTCTTTCCACGTATCAGTAAGGAATTACTCAGCAGCTTAAAGAGATGTAACACCAAATTCTTTCCACTAACTAACAAGGAATTACTCAGCAGCTAAAGGGGAGAATTGATATTCAGATCATGGAATCTTAAGGGTTCATAAAATGGATCGATCCGTAGCTATACACTCACTCAGAGCTTGAAGATAAGAATATTTTGAAACACATTTTTATGGACCACAGGTTGTAGCATAGTATGCGTCACTAGACAGCATAGCATGCGTTACTAGACAGACAACTTGAAGACTGAGTTTCTAAACACATCTTTGCCTACACCTTTCGGCCTTTTGTACAATGAGGTGAAGATATCTAGATTATTAGATTTCCTTTAGATCTACATGAGAATTCAGAAGAAACGTTCAATCTTCGATTTTGCAATAAGCATGCTGTAAATCTATCCCAAACTCTAGCTATCCCGGGCTCTTCTTAATGAACGTTTTTACCTCCTCGCAGTCTCCGCCACAGAAATATTAACAGATGCCGTCTTAGAACTAGAAGCTGTCTCCGTAACAGAGTTCAAAGGTTCAGTAACCACACCCTCCTCTTCAGTAATCTCTTGAACCTCTCCAACGGACTCTTTGGGTTCATCAGCACTGGGCACTATCTCCGTACTGTCTGTTGTCTCCAACACCACCAGCGTGTTCCCTGAAGTTTCAATAACATCTTCTGAAGTAAAAACACCTTCATCGGGGATCTCCTCAACACGAACAGCTTCAACTAGGGCCATGCTTGACACCTCGTCACTTTGGGACGTCAAGGAACTTTCCTCCTGACGTTTCTCTAGCGACTCGACTTCGGCTTCCTCGATCGAGGGTCCCTCCTCATATTGTCCTTTATCGCTTCGGGCTGAGGACGAGGGCTCTCCTGAAGCTTCTGTTGAGAGACCTGTCTCTACCACGCGTAAGTCGAACTTTCCATCGGCTCCCATGCGATAAGAGTTTGAGGTGCCGTTAGTCCAAGCTACTTCCACCCAACCTAAAATAGAATGATTCCACTTCAAAAGAATGTAAATGTTCATCTTTTATCCCTTTCACACCTAGAAGTGAGTAGTAATGGTAACAGGACTGAGTGGAGTCCAATACGGTCAGCTATCACACGAGTGATAAACAAAATCAGACCGAGAAGTGGGATGTACGATTTATTTATTACGAGTATGATTACAGACAGGATTGGGTGACACGACTTCCTGTTACCAATTATTCAAAACTAGTAAAAAATTTGAGAAAAAAAACTAGCCACCAAGTTATAAGTTTTCATATGAACAACACTTAACTCGGCGAAATGCGCGTCAAAGGCGACCGTACATGATGCATGCTGTCTAATTACACAGGCATGACGCATACAATGTCCATAACACTGTCCAATTATAAGCGCAACACGCGCAGTCCTATTAGTGCAAATAGGCTGGTGGTAACCAATCAAAGTCGAGAATTTTGATATAGATTTTGATTGGTAGGGTATTTTCTCCAAGAATCTTAACACATTGTCCGGCACACATATGAGACCATAGAAAGACAAAGTCAACTTTCTCGCATTCGTAATGAGCACCTCGATCTTCCTAATTTCTAATTATCATCGACAAGATCTTGGTCGCCATTCCTTCATTCAAAAGTCTAAAGGGTCTATCAAAATCAGAAAACTTTAAGCTTCTTAATATTACATCTCAATAGACACACACAGAGGTTTCATTAAAAGCCAGTTACCAGGGTCTACGCGATCTATTTAGTCAGCATGCAGGCTCTCTATTTAAGTTTCACCTTGCGGCCCCTTTTTGATTGCAGCCGCCTAATTTACCATCTGTTTATCAAAAAGGGTTTATTGAAACCCCTGCATTCATTCGAATCACTATTCATAATCTCCCCCTCCCTTCCCTTTCCCACACTTCTCCACCCTCCCTTCCCTAGAAAAGCAAAAAAATCTGTTATCACCGTTACCGTTCTGCAGCTCCCCTGTAACCAGGCCCTCGCCGGGGGGACTTCCATCCTGGTCTTTCCACTTCCAGTCCACCCCTCGGACCACTTTGCTACCCACATTCAAATGCTTCAGCATCTGGGAGCGAATGAGGCGGCGCTGACGACGTAAGGCGGCTTCCACCTCTCTCGCAGCCTTGCCTGGACTCAGAGACCAGCTGGGCTTCAGTGACTTAGCAAGTTTCTCACCAGCTGTACCACTCTTGGAAGAAGACAACTCTGGAGCTGCAAAAAGGCAGTACACTCTATTTAGAAAAGCAATACATTTTATTTGAAAAAGCAACTTGCTTGATACTTTATTGATAGTGCGAGGAGAAATTTTGGAAGTGAAAGGGCATGAGCTCTTCCACTGCGACTCACCCAGCGGTTCTTCAACGGCCGTCATTACTGTTCCGTACACTTCAAATCCCGATAAGGACAGATAATGCGTCTGACCACTGGCATTTTTGCCAGCTTGTTGCAAACGAACGTGTCTCCATCCTTCTTGGTCAGACGGAGGCTCCAGCGGCCAGGAAGCTGTTGACCTGTTGATAGAAGGGGAGTTAAGGCATCTGTCTTGATCCAAAGAAAATGAGTAAAGGTAACATCAGAACTTATTTATTATTTCATTACTATTTACGGGATCGAGGATAGCGTAGTAGTGAGATCATTCTCCTTGATCCTCGTGGTCTGGGTTCCATTCTAGGGAACTGGCTTCGCATGTTGGAACTCTCCTTCGCTTCGAAAGTTTTTTTTTTCAGGATCTCTAGTTTTCCTCTCTACCTAAAAACCTACACCTGAAGTTAGAGCAATTTTCCAATTGAGTGTCGAAAGTAATCCGGAATTTTTTTGTTTGCTTTTGCTTAACTTCGCTCTGTGATTGGTCACTCTCTCCATGTTTTCCCGCATTTTCGGAAGTTGGATTGTTTTCACTTCGAGTTTCCATTGGCTCTTTAAGATGTTTTCATTTCTCTGATTGGCTGTTAAAAAGCAAAACCGATTACCTCGGTTTTGCTTTTTACAATATTCACTCCCAGAGTTCTGGCACTATCGTCAATTTTTTTGGCTGTTTTTTTCTTTGAATTATGCGACGGAATTTGCTGAAAAGGAGCCACTGCTCTTGGTCTAAAATAACACACACGCACGAGCGTAAAACGAGAGACAGTTCACAATAAATTCCCAGTGAGGAAGATTTCATACCCGGGTTCATTCAGCGAGTTATCATCTGTATGAGTATAGAGTGTTGTCCAAGTCTTTCCATCCTTGCTCACTTGGAAAAGCCAGTTGCGAAGAGCAGACCTAAGAATCGATTTATCCAGGTATATATAATTTGTCATTAACTCATTCAAAACTAAAACCTTGAAGTTCTCAACTTTTAAAACAAATTCTGTCCTGACAATAAACAGTTTGAACCGTGACGTAACATTTGAGCGTGTGGACTTATCATTGGGATAAGAGAAGTCCTGGGAGGGACTGTTGTCGGTAGCAGTGACTGACATTCCGACAAACTGAGCAGAATTCCTCATCAGATCGAACTGGTAATTCTCCTCACTGAGTGCCAAGCAATTCTTAAGATGTTAGTTTGGAGAATTTGGCATTGGGTGGACTAATGATCACCTAATTGATAGGTCTCATTATTCTCATCACTTGTCTGCGTGATACTGTATTGAAATTGTAGGGAGAAATTATTTCTTGGTCACTTATAGGAGTTCAAGGGTTATAAGTACTTCTTCCCGCTTGCCCTTGAGTGCTTACTTTAACTCAAGTTTCTATTCACTTTATCCGATTATGACTTCTTGAACGAAGGCAATTATGTTAAATTACCGAAGCATTGTGATGTTCTAAATAGTACAGCGATAAATTTGAAGTTAAAAAAGATAGTTCATTCTTGTCCAGATTAACTGTAATGAGCACGTCACCGCAGAGAATCAAGAAACTCACCTTCCATATCCACGCGCATGCCTGAGTGTATAACAGGTTGGTCTAAACCAAACGCCTAGATCAATGGCAAACCAGGCATTTCTGTGGGAAAAAAAACAGTCAACGTCAGAAACTGCAGCTGTCTGAGGGATTTGCGTTCCGATGCGCACTAAAATCGGATAATTTTCGGTATCCTGCCAGAAACATTTGCGAGCTGAGATAATTGACTATGAAACAGTCACAAGAGTACCCCAAAGGGAAGACTTCCAACTGTAAATTTCAAAAGTCCTTTTTTTCTCTATCACTAAGTATTCACACATCCTAACAACAAGGGCAGCGAATGCTCCTCGCAACACGACTTACTTGTCATCGTTGGTGTGACAGTTGAGCGCTGCAGCATCCCTACTCAGGATGTCCTCGACCTTTCCATAAGGCAGTCCTCTCCCCTCTGAAGTACTGACTGCCACGATCCCAACTGAACCAGGGTTAACCCAGTCAGGAGTGGACTTTCCGTTAGTACCAAGCCAGTAAAGGATACCGTTCTCGTCAAAATCCTGCATGTGAGTGAAGCTGGTCTTGTTTCCTCCTTTGAGGAGACGTACAAAGTTAAAGGTGCTTCTGTCGTGGTCATACCATTGCTTAGCAACCTGAGGAAACGAAAGAAAGAGCACTTTTGATGGAGTGTCAAAAAAGAAAAAAAACACGGAAGAATGCAAGTCACCAAATGTCAAACAAAGACGATGTAGTTGTGTGAAAGTTGCGTTTACAGTTGAGGGAGGGGAGGCTGCCACAAGTATAATCCGTACGCATACATAGTCTCACCATTTTCAAAAGATATCGTTCTAAATCTCCCACAGTTGTTAGTGGTTCCATCTTTAAAGTTCTTCCTGTTCTATCAATTAGAGAACTCTCTCCTGGCGCTCGTTCTAACTGGAATCTTAAACGCCTTGCGAGCACCTGAGAAGCAAAATCAAGCAAAATAAGTTGAGAGCGAAGGTATTTAAACCAAAGCTTTATCTGTATTTGATTCCTGTGTTATTTTTCAATGTACTTCTGGCAAGACCTAATTTAAATCACGGCAGAGTTCTGTATCCCCTAACCTCTTTTTGACTAGCAAATATAGTTTGAAGTAAAATTTTAGCGGAAGTACTTCCCTCTCGTTACATAAACGAAACATATTTATGTCATCAATTAGCTTTCCTACCGCGATCTTTGGGTTAAACTCTTTTTATTTCTTGACAACCTCATAACACTAGGGTAGGTTAGGCTTGTTGCATCTTAAAGTTTAGACTACGAGAATTCTCTTCCCTTCGACGAAGTCTGTCGCGCGAGTGCAAAAAATCAGCGAAAAAAAGTTGACGTCGATGCACTGCAGGACTCGTGCGACGGACTTCTCCGAAAATAAGGGACAACTCGTAGTCTGCTGACAGTTCACAGCTATAACTTTAACACACCTGAAGACCAGATCCTGGGCATTCGTAAGTCAAAAGAGGCAGCTTCTCTGTCGACTCTAAGACAGCCACTAGCTTCTTCACAAGGATCGTTGCAGATGAAGCTTCATCAGTACTGCAAAGATACGTCACAAACAAAAATTGTAAGGCAAAATCAGATGATTTGTATTTTAGGTGATTTCAAAGAAAGGTAAACCTTGATCATTAATCTATCCACGTACTTTTCTTCGTTCAATTGCTCTTCTGTTTCTCCAAAAGCTGACTTGAATACTTCTATTCTTTCAGCGATGCATTCCGCTGCCCGGTTGTTGGCATTTTCGTTGTCGGAGGGCACAGTTTTACCACTCTGAAAGATGATAAACAAGAATTAAATAAACACCAGGTTACAGTACTTGTACAGAAAAGCAAAAAGATTGATGACAGCTCTGGACAAGTAGATTTCCCTGACGAACGAGAAAAGAGAGCAAAGTCATAAAGAAGCAACACCTTAATCCAGTCGCACACGGTCTTAACTTGCGTAGGTCATACGGAGGCTTAAACAACAATCAGTATAGAGGCTACTGTACGTTGAGTAATTTACCGCTGTGAAAATTGCTCTACATACGAAAACTGAATAAATATAGCTATTGTACGATGTATGCTACCTGGTGAAGACAGCGTAGAAGGGCTGTGACCAGTCCTGTTGATTGTAGCTCGTACGATGAAACAGTGGCGTCGTCCTGTAGTACTTGCAGAAGGCCTTTCAGCGCAGTAAACATTTCTTCTCTCCAAGATTCTTTCCCATCCCCTCCCTATCGATAAAAAGTTAAAGAATAAAGATTCAGTCTACATACATAAATTTCATAACATAATTATTGAGGTTTTTGTAGCATAAAGACTACTACTACTTCCCGGGATGCTGGGATATCACAGTTATCCCCACCACCCCTACCCCCCAACCGCGGCATTTTTTCCCGAATCCCTGGCATACTGCTTTTACTCATTTCTACTCCTAGATGGATAGACGCACTGTGAGGGTTAATTGCCTGATCCTGAACACTCGCCTAGATTAAAATAAGGAAATAAAATTATTTTTACCAAAATATCGGACTAACTTCTGAAATTGAAGTGCAGTAATTGGCACGGCGCATTTTCGCTCAACCCTTCAACTCGCACGGTCTAATGTTTAACTCCCCCCTCTAACTAATAAACATGTCCTTGTAACTTAGTTATGATAATTTTGCGCTCGATCAAGATAACAACTTTTAGTATTCTCTCTGAGAGTTCAAGGGTAAAAGTAAATTTGGAATTGATTAAGTACGAGAATAACACTTCAATCGTCTCACAGGCACTCCAAACAATCATTTTATCTGCATTCAGGCGTATCAACTAAAACTCACTAAGCCTACCTTGGTAAGATTTTCTTGCGATAAACACGCTGAATGCAGCTGCGAGACAATTTCCTGTAACTTGGCCACAACTTCACGAGGTGTGGCTTGTGCAGCCAGGAGATATTTCTCCTGAATCTCAGCTGCCAAATTCCGGATCTTCAGCTTCTGAGCCTCGACCTTCGACACAAACCGCTTCCCTCTCTTTCCCATCCAACCAGCAGCGAACTCAGGCCCCAAGGAGGTCTCGGCATTGAAGGTGTGTTTTGTGCCCCTGTTTGACTCAAAAACAAAGCCTGCAAGATCTTCACGGAGTATAGTCGCTTGTTGTCCATCGGCATTGTGTACAGATACTTCTTTGTCTTTCGTACAAGTCAGCGACCAGTTACCCACAGAGAGTCGAGTGGAGCTTGGTGAAGACAGAAGTGGCTGGCTTGGTGTCCCGAGCTTCACCTGGCCTCGGGCTCTCTGAAGTTTTTCAAGGAATTCTCCTCTGCTCTCTACAAAAGGAAGATTTTTTTAAAAAAAACTCCAGAACTAACTAACAACGATAGACTTACACATGCATTCCTGAAAGAAGAGCTCTAAATTTTCCCCGATAAGTTAGAAAAAAAAAGGAAACTGTTTGGCTTGAAGCATTAAAGTCCCGCAAAAAAGCTGCAACACTTAATAACCTTAATCCTAATGAGAAAACTTAACAAGGAGTATGCACGAGAAAACTTTTTCTTCAGTTCTAAAAGTGTTTCAGTCCCTTTTTTCACAGAAAGATATCAAGATGAGGTATAATTCCGTGCAATTTTTCCATTGCGTTAAGAGACCTGTATCTCAACCATATGCCGCAATAAAGGATGTGAAATTAATTTTCCTTCCTTGTTTAAGTTCCCCTACTTGTACAAGAACTCGAAGTCATCTCCGACCGCCAAAAAAATGTACAGCGCGGGTCACTCGCAGGGTTCCGCGCGGCGCAATAACATCAATATGTGTTTTTTGCTGCATTTTGACTCGCGCGACGAACTTCGCCAAAAGGGGGAGACTGCTCGTAATCTGAATGCGGGGTGCGACGAACCCTTACCAGATGAGTCCGATCCTCCCTCTGGACTTCCGCTTGAATACATCGTTGCAAGTTTTCCATCCAAAATAAAGCGGAACCAGCCATTACTGCCATTAGAAAGCTCCAACGCACATGACTCATTCCAAAGATAGAGACAATCGCGGCTGCGCACAATACACCAGTCGTGCCAATGATAGGGCTTGCCTTGTTCAACGTCGCTGGCATCTTCTTGAACTGTGTCCTCACCCTAAAATGACATTTTGCCTCGGTTAGAACAATCGAAATAAGTATCTTCGACGGGCACAAATTTATGGAAAGTTTGGACATTGCGCCATCGAGTACTTTAGTGGTGTGAATGTTAAAACCGAGTTGTGCAGTGTCTCGATTAGTATAAGGCATAATAGCAATTAGTTTCCATCCCTCTTTGATGGAATGTTATTTCATTACAGGTAGACCCACGAAAATTTCCCAACTTTCCCGGCTTAAGTCTTTGATCCCTCAGAGTGACTAGCATCTAATTTCTCCATACAATATCACCCCTGAATCAAACATGAAGTTCACGAGAATAAAGGAAATGATCACCAACTAAAGAAGTTCTTGATTATTGAACAAATTCTCCTTGTCAGCACATTAGGAAATGCATAGAGAACAATACGGAGAATTTACATACTGATGTTAGCGTGTAAAGGGTTAACAGCTTGCTGGCCAGTACCCATTCACACTCCTTGATGGAGAGAAGCACTGTGAGGGGAAATTGTATGGCCAGGAATTCAACAGGCTTGACTCCAGACCCCTCACCATTCTGAGACTAGCCTCCGCTCATAACTGCCCCATACCTTTTTCTCAGTCTCCTCTTCATTTTCTTTCACTGTTGGTTCCTCTTGCACTGTTTCCACCTCCTGCATTGGTCCCGCCAGCTCGGTCACGTGGCTGATGACTCCAAGACGAGCCAAGTGGCTGATGTATGTTTCCTGGCACTTCTCTAACAAATCCTCTATGATCTGCAGACCTGTTAAATGGCCATCATCGTCATCCTGTGGAGGTAACAGAAAAAAGGTGAATTATGGCGCAATTACAACTGTAATTACTTTGCCTTTCCATCTCTTAAGCTGTTGCCGAAAATACGGAAAATCATACTATTTGATAATGACACCAGATTTGATAGTTACTTGATGTACGCGTATGGTTCAACCTGCGTCGTTGATGCACACAACCAGTCTAATCAAAAGCTCACTTCACGTTTTTCCCTCCTTGGAGTAGCTCATTAGAGTTTGGGGTGCATTTATCGACACCAAAATGTAGCATTATTTAATCTTTTAAGACTCAGATATTATTTCATCCGAGCTAATTATGAGTAGAATCAATTTAATGAAGCACAAAACTAGTCAAGTGATACAATACAAGGTTATTCTCACCTCATGATCCAAGACCACTGACAATACTTCCACAATAACTGAGGCAAATGTTGAATTTTGTGACAGCTCTTCCAGCTGAGCTTGTGATGCATAATGGATCATTTTTCGCATCAAAGCTAAAGTTGCCTTCCTAATGCTGGGCATCATCGTCTCCTTGTAGTTTTTAGCAAACAATGGCAGGAGGTTTTTAAGGTAGACCGGCGCCATTTCTGGATCTCCTTTCACTTCCTCTGGCTCTTCTTTCTTTTCTTCCTCCTCAGCACTGGCGGGTTCTTGACTGGCTGTTGGTTGTTCCGGTGCAGGGGAAGGAGTGGAACTACTTCCCACAGGAACCATCCATTCACCTATAAAAAAAACCATCAGTGATGAGCATGCCTCTTAACCCTTATACTCCCATAAGTGACCAAGACAGAATTTCTCCTTACAATATCGATACAATATCGAGCCGACAAGTGATGAGAATAAAGGAAAATATCGGTTATGAGATTATTAATTGATCCAATATTACATTCTCAGAACTAACATCACAAGATTCGTAAAGAAGACAATGAGGAGAATTACTAATGAGATCTTGGGAGTGAAAGGGTGTAGTAAAGCAGTGCTATAAGTCTTACACTTTGAAACTAGGTAATTTGGTATTATCAACTGAGTTGATAACGTAAATCGGCCACCGTTAGGACGATTTAAGTCGTCATTTGCTCTGACGAAGGGCTATCGCTTGAAACGTCAGCTTTGAAACTCCTAACCGTGGCCAATTTACGTTATCAACTTAGTTTATGATACCAAATTACCTTGTTATACTCTCCCACCGACGCAGCACCACACTTTCTTAAGAAACTTACCCCCTTTAAACTTTGAAAGTTTACTTACATAAGGTCACAAAATAGGGAAGAATTGTTGCGACAGAACCAATTGAGAGTAAATTGACATTCTTGACTTGAAACTTGATCCCAATTTCTTAAACGTTTCAAAGTCAAGAATCAAGCTTTGAGACTGAGGATTACTTTAAGTATTTTGATTTTGGAATTTTGTCGCAAGATTAGAGTTCTGAGGTTCAAGGAGCTTGCTGAATTTTTTGAAGAAAGGATCTACTCCTGCAAAATAGACCAGTAAAAATGGACGAAAAACTGGTTTGGGGAAAATCTTCAAATCTCAGAGCAGAAAAAAATACAATACCTGGTGATTGTAGAATATGTACAACTTCCCTGTGGCCTTCGTCATTTCGCTCTCTTGCTTTATCCATTGGAGTTTTACCATCTTCATCTCTAAGGTCAGGATTAGCACCATGCCTTAGCAGAGTCTTAAAAAATGACAAAACCAGCAAAGTTACTACAGATAAGGCTACTCAACTATAGATTGCATCTGGAATTGAAAGTAATGACCAAATGGAAAGACTTAAGTGTCCCCTAGGAAAAATATATCCCAACAATGTGAGATGTCTTCCAATCTGATAGATGAGACCCCATCAAGGGCCAATGTTAGATGAAGTTTGTACCACCTGATTCAGTCTGCCTGCAGTCTCCTGTCATGCCAAAAAACATTTGCTCATTTTGTCATGATATTGCTGTCACGAACAACAATTTTTATCCTTCTCTTACCCATCCCTGAGTAAAAAAAAAATTTCCCTGTGTATGTAATGACGCAATTTCATTTTCAGTTTGTGAAAAAAGGTTGTTTTTAGTTCTTTGTGGAGAAATACTACCAGTTGCACTATGCATTAGGGATTTGGCCCATCAGTATCAATATGCAGGCAGTTCATGTACATGTAGATCACCTTTGCAACAGCAGGTCTACCAAAGCAAGCAGCGTAATGTAGAGATGATGACCTCTGACCTCTATTGACATCTGCTCCTCGCTCACAAAGATATTCCACCTAAATGATAATGTTGATAACAGTTACAAAACTGCAAGTAATCCTGGTAAGGTGTCCTATGGTCAGTAATCAAGTTTGCAAAATGCATATGTAATGACTGCAGAATGCACATGAAAGTCTGATGGAACTTCTTGCTTTGTTAACATTTTAGTCTTGTTTCAAGTAAGGGCCACACTATTTTGATGAAAATATGCATTTTTTAAATTTTCTGATCCTGATAGTAATTAGTGGGACATTTGTTGCATTTGAGGCTAGCATAAGGCTTACTGTAGTTCACTACTAGGGTCTCTATAGCTCAGTGGTTGAGTATTACAAGAAAAATCTAAATGTCTATGGTTCGATTTCTTGTTGAGAACTAACAAATTTTTTTAATACCACCCATGTGACAAAATAAACAATACATGTACAGCCAGTGCTTATTAAAAATACCCAGAAAAACATTCTCAAACCTGTAAAGCTGCAAGTAACCTACCATCTCTAATGTTCCAAATGCTGAGGCCCAGTTGAGAAGTGTCTGTCCAACATCATCCATAAAGTTCACCTCAAATCCACCTGCAGTTTAAAAATATGCAACCCTACATATAAGTCCCAGCACAAAGCAATTTCACAAACAGATCTGCTTTAGAAATCTAGAGTCAAACATAAAAGTACAACAAAAATTCACTTCCTTTAAACAAATTGCTAAAATGTACATTAACTTCAGGCAGTATGATCTCAATCATCAGCATAAATGTTCCTCATGGAATGACTGGCACAATAAGACATGACCAATAATGTCAAAAATTTAGAGGGAGTGTCAGGGGAATCTTCTGTACTCATTATCACTTTTGGATTTTAAAGGGTTACAAGCTTTCTAGACTTGCACTGAAACTTGGAGAGAATGATTGCTTCCTCAAACATTAAAGAACAACTGGCTCAAACAAACATTTTCTGTGTAACACATGTCACTTAGAAAGCACAAAGAGCCTTCAGGTTTCGGCAATTGGCTGCACAAGACTTTCCGCTAAAAGAAGTTTAACAAAATTATACAAATTAAGGTAATCTTACCATTTTCAATAGCATCTATGACTGCATCTGTGTCCTTACTTCTGATGCAATCAATAAGCTGTCTGTGTGAATTCTCATGTGACCTGTCAAACCTTCGTAGACTGGCAATCCCTCCCTTGGGAATACTGACACAGGACTTGGGCAATGCACATCTTCCCTCAAACAACAGAACCAGCAGGAGATCTACCAGTCGCATGGTGTCCAGAACACATCTTTCATCACCTTGTAGGGCTTTTTGAATAGCGTCTGGCAGTCCTGCTCTTAATAAATCCTGGAAACACATGAAATGAGCACAAACAAGGTATAAATTTTCATTTGTGGAATTTCACTTTTTATGCCTTTTCTATTCCAGGTGTATCTTCTTAAATGTAAAAGCTTGTTCCAAATAAAAAATAAAGCAAATATAATGGAGACCAAGTTTTACATGCAAATGCAATGCAATTCTGTAAGATATCAGGAGTTTGCAACAGTAAAAAAAGATTATAACAGTAAAAAGATTATCTTCCATAAAAATACTTTTGTTTTGAAGTCTGGAATCCACAGCTTACAACTGTTAAACTTAAAAGAACTTTCCTCACTAACAAGTTGTACCCCTTTTAAAAGCCTTGTCACAGGAATGAAATACATACATGAGTAACACTTGGTGATCCCCTGCACAGTGTTGATAACAAACTGACAATGGTGGAAACTGATGTACTATTGCTCTTGGAGTCAGGAGTGGCTCCATTGCCTCCTGTTTTGTCACCAGCAGCAATTGCAGCACTTGCTAGCCTGTCTAACAACTCACTGGTCAAACCATGTTCAGCTAATGGAGCTGGATCAACACCACGGCGTGTAAACCGATCAGCAAGGGATGCAAAGCACCGGAGAGCACCATCAGATACCTGCAGGGATCACCAACAAATGAAGCTTTCTTCTTAAGAATTGTAGGGGAGACACAGTGGTCTAATAAAGGGGATAAGTTTCTAAAAATGGTGCTGCGTCGGTGGGAGAGCATAACAGGGAAATTTAGTATTAACAACTGAGTTGATAATGAAAATTGGCCACCATAAAGAGTTTTTAAGCCAAAGTTTGTAGCCCCTTTGTCCCTTGCTCTGATGAAGGGCTAATGATTGAAATGTCAGCTTTGAATACCAACTCAGTTGTTAATACTAAATTACAAAGTGGTCTACTAGTTTCTGCATTGCACTCCTGGGTGGTTGTTCCAAAGGTGGTTGGCAATAATTCAGGATCAAAAATAATATATAGATTTAGCCAAGCTTAAAACCGGAGCTTGCATTTTTTTTTCCTGCAAGTTTCTAGCACACAACACCTTGCCTCGACCAGGACTAGTTTGTTGTTCAACTCAGAGGTTCAACTCGGAGGTTGTTCGACTCGGAGGTTGTTCGACTCGGAGCCCAGTGCACTGACCACTGGACTACTGAACAAAGCCGTAACGTTGGTGTGCATGCGGTACAGTTGACCATGCATGTTAAAAGTAGCACCTTGTTTGGTCATACATCCGAATTTTTTCGGCTTGATGGGTTACTACTATTTTGTATAATTATGAGGCTACGCTCTGTGAGCTCCACTATAACTTTTCCTTGATTTCTCAGAAAATAAAGCACATAGTAGGGTTTACATTGTGAGGTGTTTTACCCTAAGTTCAAGTAAGACTAAACCAAGGGAAAATACAAACAATTAAAACTGTCTGAAAAGCTCTATGTACAAAACTGAATAAAAAATTGTTGCCTCTATACTCCCAGGAACATAAATGGGAACCAACAAACAATCAAATTCAGAGCTGTGGTATTGTACATGAAGCTATCCATAACACAACTTCTTAACCCATTTATAAAAAAAACTTTCATCTATTAACCAAATGTCATTTGTAACATTGTCACCAACAAGATTGCAACATTGATTCTCCTTACTGTCTACTCTTGATTTCCTATAATGTTATGTCTGAGAATATGGTGCTGGATCAAATACCTAATATATTTTTCATTATTCTCATTACTTGTCTGCTCAGTATTTTATTGATATTTAAGGGAAAAATTACACCTGTGTCACTCATGAAAGTGAAGGTTATATACGAAGTTGACCGATTGCCAAACACTAGAAGCTATGAGCAGCACCCCAATTAAAGCCTTCATTGTGCCTGTTTCAAAACTGAAAATAATAAGCTAAATACTTGGTTATAAGGCGCACCATTTTTCGGTAAAGATGGGTCCAAGTTTATTGTAAATTCTTTCATAAACTTACAAAAAGCGAAAAAAAAAGTGAGCATTGATTTTGGTTTACCGTTAATTAACAAAAAGCAGAATTGTCGCTATGACCATGCACAAAGCAAGCCTTGATTAAGCAAGAATTGACGTGCCGCGAAATGCGGGTCTCAGTGCACAAAAAGGCTAAATGGATGAAGGTATTTATCTCTTAACTTGTTTATTTTCGTTTTGTTTTTGTGACGTATCAAATACTAACCCGCACCCACCAAAACTGTCTTTTTAGAACCACCATGTTATGGCGATCATTGACCAACACTGTTGGCTGATACTTTTACATTTGCTTGAAATCGTTCAGCCAACTGTGATAAAAAAAATTGTTGGAAAATATTTTGCCCTATAAAGATGCCCAAACTTTGGCTTCAGTAATTTTTGTAAAGGTAAATTTCTTGAAAAAGCGATTGCGCCTTATAACGAATAACTACGTGTACAACAGCAGAATCTTGATGCAGACACTTATTACTTACATATGGGTCTTCATGTTTCGGTAAGTTGATGACTTGACTTTAATTTCCAGGATTAGAATCTTGACTCCATCCTTCATAGCTGGACACTACATTCATGACTGAATGTGGTGTCACTGCAATGCTGAAACTCCTGGCCTAGCCAATAAATGTCAGTGAACACTGGAGACCCCCTGCCTCAAACACAGCTCCAGCCTCTCGAGTACATATAAGTTCCAGAACCTAGAGAGAAAAGCATAGAAATTTTTCAACTTGCATCTTACAAAAAGAAAAAGGCAGTTGGTTGACAGTAAAAGGGCACCAAGGTAACATTTTGCAAGACAACTTGAGAACAAGTTTCTAGAAAAATTTACTGCATGTGACAGTGAGAATGTTTGTGAAAACTTCTACCCCTGAAACAGAATTTGGGTTGTGAAAAAGATCATTGAAGTTGAAACTGGTTTGAATTAGTGCTGGTAAAAGAGCAGTGAGCAAACGAATTACTAGACTTGTTTTGGAAGCAGTAGCAGTCACACACAGAGCATTTTGTTGCAAAGCCCTTCACACCAGCGTGTAACCTTGTTGCAATCTGACCTAACCTCAAAATATCAATAAGCTATTCTTAGTGAAATATGTCTTAACCCTTGATGAAAATTCAGAATTTCAAACACTGGTGTAAAATATCTCCACAATCTCTTTAAACATTGCAAAGTTATACCAGTGCACGTGGAAAACAAATGTTTTTTTTTAAACTATTTATTTCAATTTAACACGAAATGATAATTATAGCATATTAGTAATAGTGTTTCCTTTACGTAAGCGTAATGAACTTATTACCCTTCAGTTGTACAATGTAGCACAATCGCACTGCATGAAGCTGAAGTTAATACCAATGTACAACAAAGCAATATGTAATTTTCTATCCTGACTTACTTTGACACACTGTTCTCCCAGATCTTTGCTAGTCCTTGATGATAAATCAACTACAACAAGTCGGCTACAGAGGGCCTTAATTGCTCCTTCCACCGCAACAATCCGTCTGGTGCATTCTGCTGACACATCAAGGTAGTAAGTAATAGCTCTTGCAGTTACTTCCAGTACATTTTCTGGTGCGCACTCATCCAAGAAGATACGACACAGAGCTGGTAGAAATGTTCGTGGTGGACAGCTGCAAAGGAAAAAGTGAAGTACATTTATTTAGAAAACCAACCAAAAAGGCACCTATGACTAAGAAGTAAAACTTGACAGGTCCTGGACATCAGAAAGGTAAAGTCTGCATTTCAAACAAGTGAAATGTACAGGAAATATTGCCACTATTTCCTAAATAAGAAGCCAGCCCCACTCCAGGTGACCCTACCAACATTTGGTCAGATTTCCTGTGACCTGTTGATACTCTTAGCTGGACAGAGGCCTTGTGAGAGTGAAGTGTCTTACCCTTGAACACAACACAGTGACCCAGTCATGTCTCACATCTGGATTTCTTTACCTTAAGTTCACTGCATTAGAATGAAAGGTCTTTCAGAATGAAAGCTTGTGATAATTTCTAATCAGATTGGCAGCCTTGCCAGAGCATATTTTGATAGTGTGGCACATTCCAAATTTCTGATGGGAGCTACTATAAATGACTTCCTGTCCAAGCTGGCAAAATATCACAAAGAAATCCAAAGGTACATCTCTATCTTTCACTATTCCCAATATTGCAGCAAACTCTTAACATTCAAGACAGTTCAATGAATTCTTACAAAACTATTTCATTAGAGAATAACTGTACTAGACTAAAGGTGGTAAATATTAGAAGCCTTTAATTATCAGGAATATTTTTGGTATATAACACATTTTTAACTTTTGGAATGTTATGGGTTGTGGGCACATTAAACCACACCAAAATAGGTGTTCCTCGATAAGCTTCCCCACTCCTGAAATCCCCATCCTTCCTTTCATTCTTTGCCTCAAACTAATTACATTCACAGTTTACAGTTGTAAGAAGTGTAAAAGGTATGTGAGGCTGAATTTTTCCACTTAGGTCTAATTTTTTTAGAAGAGGAAGGCCTTGATTTCAAGCAACCTTATGAAATATACTTGAGATCGAAGTCAGATTTTTTCCTCCAGTGCCAATATAAGCAAAATAGACAACAGAACATTAGCTTTTCAGCACTCTTCGTTACGAAAAATATACTTATGTTTGCAACGTTAAGTCGAAGAAGGAAATTTAAATGATAAATGCCGTATATACACATCTTTCTAATTATAGTTAAATTAAGCATATAAATGCCGTCCACTCTTTCATTTTTTAATCACGTGAAAGGCCTTGGCCTTCAATTGAGATCATCGCCTCTTATGACACATTGTACCAATACAGTCTTTATGATCGTTTTATTGTCAACCAGACATCAAATAATTACATATCGTTGCAAAATAAATCATCTAAAAACCCGTATTGATTAAAGAAAAAACTATTATAGGCATATTTATGATGATTTCTTGCGGAGTAATGAAGTTAATCCCGCGATAAAATCACCGAAACGTGAGCTTTTTCCATTGTCAATTTCACGAATAAGTCATTTATATTAAAACTCATTATTTTACTTCTAAAAAGGCTCACGTAAGTAGTTTTCCCATGGTTTGGACTAAACACTTAGCTATACTACACTAGTTAACGAAGAAATGGTAACGAAGGGTGATTACTGATTGCAAAACAAATTTTGCAGTTATAGTTTTCGCTATCATTTACCAAAACTTAAAAGCTGTCGTACCTCTCAAAACACCGGTCGATGTTGTCCGACATCAGAAGTAACATACATAGTTGTTCCAACGCGATCAACTGCATGTCTCGTTCGTCGCCCTGTCCCATACTTAGCCATTCTAGCAGTGTGTCTGGATCGACGTCTACCATCTTCACAGACAGGGAAATAACAAAATGAAATAAAACTTTTCACGTAGGACAAAGGTCCAAAACTAAGGCGATCGACGTCTTCGCTTTCGAGTGAGAAGAATATTCAACTTTGTTGTCAACACGTGAAAAAGTGTGTTCGTTTTTGTAGTATTTTTCAGCGGATTACTTGTCAGTGAAGCTCAAAAACAACACGAATTGTCGTCGATACTTCGTGTCACGGAAATGCACTCAACCTTTTACACGGTGACTCCTCGTGTTTCCTGCCGTATGCCGACAAATATTTCTTCTCAATTAGGAATTACAACGCGTAATAAACCCCGCCATCAAGCCTTCTACCACGTAAAAGGAAACTGTGTTGCTTCGAAAACATCTAATGCCGAAAATAGTGTATCATTACAGCCCACATAGCGCTTAAACTTTAACTCGTTATTCGTTCTTATTAATGTAATGTTGTCAGATACACTTTCGCACAAACAAAATCTCTAGCCTCTTTTAGAAGTCGAATAAACGCGCGGAGATTGGGACTTAGTAGATCCCAGTTCCCTATAGGCAAGTTCTTAGATTGTGTGTGACAACTGATAACGTTTCGGAAGAACTGTGTTTTGTGGCTGAAATTTGTCCAAATGGAACCGAGTTTGGATTGTAGAACTCCTCCAACATCACCAGAGCTAAGCCGTTTAAAGACAAAGCGTCGATGCCCATTTGGAGAGTCTCCTCAACCTTTGAAGGTCCCGGCGTCTGAAAGCGTAATGGCGCGCGATGACAGTTCCACACGTACAACTGATCAAAGTTCCACGTCAATCACTGGTACACACTTAAAAGACAATATTTTTTAAAAAACTTGTGGCCTAGGATGGATAACTCGAAGAAAATGATCGCATTAGTTTTAAACCATTTAATTTTAACTTGTAACTTGTCTTGCTTTCTTTTCGCTTCCCGATTTCACTTGGAAAGCGAAGGAGAGCCTTCGCTTAGAAGATTTCCGTATAACCCTGCACTCTTCGTAATAACAAAGCTGTGGTCTATATGGTATCGTTTTTTCCTTCGTTTTCCTTTGTCAGGGCATATGCATAATAAGCCAGGCTCCAGCTGTGCAGAAATTTTGCTAGTGCTTTGTTGTTGCCGCCCCCCCTTCCTAATAAACAGGGTGGGGATTTTGGAGTTGAGCCAGGAGGCACCCCAGCGTACGTTCCTTTAGGGTGGTTTTATCGAATATCTTGAATTTGATTCTGGTTACTCACAAATTCACTTGTGTGTTTTTAAGTAGAGCCATTTCTGGAATACAACCAAAGATCACCCTTTAAATGTGGTACCTTTCAGCTTGTGCATTTGAGGTGCTCATGAACAGCCAGAGAAGTCAAAGGGATGCTGTCCATACTTCTCCACTACAACCAGCTGTGACTAGTTCTTCCTGTCAATGTTGGATTTGTCACCATTAGCGATTCTATACCTGCATTCTCTTGAACACAATTGTTTACATTGAGAGATAATAAATAGTAAATGGTGATGCTTTGGAGCGAAACTACTGTTGCTTTTCTGCTCACTATCGCTATGATAATCATGAAGCGTCCTTTATTGTGCAACATGCCAGGAGCTGCGCTGGCAGCAAAACAAGGCAACCAGAGGTGGTACAGCAATCGAGAACGGGAAAGGCCAGGGATGAGTCCACAAATACCCATGTAAACAACACATCACATACACACTGCTTTGTAACATACATGTATATACCACAAACTTTCTACTGGTTTTATCGTTGAAGACCCTTACTTGGAAGAGCAATTTTTGTTACCAGTAACCTAACATCGGTATGTACATTCTCCATACTTTTCTCTATACATTTCCTGAGGTGCTGACAAGGAGAATTTGATTGAAGTGTTGGTGATCATTTCCTTTATTCTCATGACCTTAATGTGTGATTCAGGGGTGATTTTGTAGGGAGAAATTAGATGCTGGTCACTCTTAAGGGTTAAAGGGTTAAGTTTATGTTTATTTGTGAAATTCATATCCCTTAACTCTTTAACTCCCAGAAGTGATGTTTTAACCTGTAACTTCTCACAACAATATCCATAGATTATCCATCAAACGGGTAGTGAGAATACTTAAACTTATCAGGTTGAAGTTATTATCTCAATTTAAAACCAAATTCTTGTAACTATTTTACAGGGAAATGTGTAGCAGCTAGAGGGGAGAATTAACAATCAGATCTGGGAGTTAAAGGGTTACTGGTAATCCTTTCACTTCAGTGAGTGGAGATAGTCCTCGGCATTGACTGGCTAGAACTGCGTGTAAGCTTTTATGCACACTAAGTTGCATAAAGGTTGTTACCTAAAAAGCCTTCGCAATGAATGATGAGACACACCCCCCCCCCCTTCACCTTTATAGGTCAGATGTTAATAATCACCACCATTAGTTGCATGTGGTGAATGATGGAAGCTATCCAAACTTTGCTGGAAGAAAAGGGTTTTCATCAAAAAATATTTTCCATGAATGAGAAGAGAAGTGAATATTAGAGGCTTCAAAATCCCCCTGGCAACTGAACTTTTGAAGATTGGTTTGTTCAAATTTCCCTCCCTCCTCCTGACCTGGGGAAAAAATTGTGTTCAGATGCCCCAACCATCCTAAAGCTTGTATTCTGCTTGAAAGATTTGGCACCTCCTTTTCAATTCCCCACCCCAGCCTGGAAAGGTTCAAATTCCTCACCCCATGGGCACAGTTAAATGCCCATGGCTTGCCTGGGGAGGGGGATATTAAAGCTTTGAATTGAATAGGACACTGTATGTGAACATTTCCCATAAAGCTGTTGGGTCTCATCATTTATAGAACATGCTATTCAGGTGCCAATTTTTTTGCAGTTCAGTGTATGTTTTTGTATATGTTTAGCATTTGCCATGTCACCAGTATTTTCTAAAGGTAAAGTAAGTATTGATGAAAAATTTGGCATACAAGGCTGTAGCATTTATTATTAACTTGAAAGTATTTTCCTATAGGGCTTTTATTCAAAGGTTGAACTTATTTAAAAAAATCACATTTATTAAATCCCTGTCAACAATAATGTAAATATCATGTTGAATAAGAACATGTTTTAAATTCCAATGTTTCACTTTCTTTGTTATGGTAGATATGTATTTACTTGTTGCTGGCTTGTGACATTCGCTACTATACAATTTCAGTATTAACCGTCTTAGCCTGCGTGGCCGGCATACAAAAGTGAACAGAGCAGGGGGACGTTTCTGTAAGCTCGAAGCGCCATCGTAATGATTTTTGAGGCAACTAGATCCTCGCGATTGCACTCTATGCGCGCCTAAACATCCCCCACTCAACCTTTCTTCGCTGGCTATGATCAACTTGACATAGGATTGTCATGAATATCATAACAATAACCAAGGGTAACTGTGTAATGAGGATGTTTTCGGGCATGGTACTTTGTTTTCCACCCAGGACTACATTGATATGACTACTACATTGATATGTTCAAGAAAATCAGGAAGCGAAGACAATGCTTAAGTTGCAAAGATAACCTAACCATGATTGAAATTCTCAGAAAGAGACCCCTAGATACCCCTCTGCTCTAATATTCAAGTCAAATACAACCGATCTTATCCACTGTTAGAAGTCAAACCAGTTTATTCGAGTTTCCATGCGCTGCAGAGTTTTTGACCAATTGATGCTGTGAGTTAATAATTCGATAAAGGAGCAAGTGTAAAAAGGGAATCAGTATAATATCCTCAAAACCAACACGTTAAGAACACAATTAAACTCACAGCGAAAATGCGCGGGATCTTCTGTATGCATTGAACCTATGAGGAAAAATGTCCCTTTCTCAATTATTCTCTAGGCTTAGTACGCGTATTAATATTTGACACTGGAAGTCAACATATATACTCTAAGATGTAGAAAGGAAGCCATCCTAGATCATCTTCAACTCTCTGATGTAACGGTCTCGATATATATATACCAATTAGGGCTCTTGACTGAGGAGTTAACAGAAAACTTGAAGTTCGAGACCGCGGGAGAATGACGTCCTCGTTCGATTATCACGTGATCATTTTTGATTCAGTTCCAATAATGATCACTAATGATGAGTGTGCTTGATAGAAAAAACATCACAGTGGTAAACGGCGTAATCGGACCAAAAATGGGGCAGAGATGGTCTGGAGTGGAGGAGATTGTCATAGATTGGGAAACAGTCTACTTGACAAATGTTTCAAGATGTACGAAGTCTGTTTTCTTTGAATGCACGAAAAAGTCGTGCACTTTAGCATACCCTTGCAAATTAATGCGTCATGGTCAATTGAATTTTTGATGGTCAGTTCCGCGACATATTGTTTCTTATAACCTCGTGTCAATCACGAGACAAGACCTCTTATTTGCGAGTTTTATAATTAGTCACATAAGTAAGCTTCCTTGAAAACAAATCTGCTCACAATTGTTTTAGCTACCGACAAGTTAGATCACTGCATCCTCCCGAGCACTGGACTGAGGGATGAAACAAGGTAATTAGTACTTCCAAATTTTTGGCTATTTTGATTTTTGTACTCAACAAAACTTCCTTTATTTATAAGGACACTGCACATGTTAGTTCGGAAAGATAGAACAACACAAGAACTAGTGGATAAACAAAGAATAAGCAACTTGGCAAAGGGTTCCAACGGTTAAGGATAACTAAGGTTATTTATGATTTGAACGGAGTGCAAAAGACAACTTGAAATATTTGGGCTATGTTTTTATCCGAGAGTGGTACCGTTATTTCAAAAGCACATCTCGGGACACTTTCACCCCCAAGATCTCATAAGTAATTCTCCTTACTTTCTACCATACAATCTTATGATATTCAGTCTGAGAATTTGGTATTGGATCAACTAACTGATATTTTTCTTTATTCTCATCACTTATCTTCTTGATATTGTGTTGAAGTTGTCTTGGTCACTCATAGAAGTGAAGGAGTCAAATCAGTTATAAAAACCAAGTTTCGAACTCTTTCTTCAAACGATTTGGGTGGTTTATGCGTGACCACAATCCGGCTTACTCCTCATCACGCCTTTAGAAAAACAAGTTAAAAAGCATAGAGAAAATAGTTTTTTCCAACCAAAATTCTCAGAATTGTTATGTAAATATTGGCAGCTTGAATTACATAACCTGAATAAAGGTTAGTTTATTACTCATCAAGTACAAGACGATTATGCTCATACGGATAAATATATATTTTTGATAATTTTAAAAACGGCAGTGCCATATGCTTTTTCAGTAATCGCAGAGCTAATTTTATTTTCACTTGTGTTTCGATCCAAAGGCCTTGTTATTGCCGAATCGAAAGAACACACTTCGATAACTGCCTCCAAAAAAATAAGTGATGTAATGTTTAAATATAGATAAAAAAGATACTTTCTTTACTTAGTCCAATGAGGTCTCGTGGTTAGCCGGGCCATGTTATCCGAGCTTCGCTAATTAAAGATATTAATTATTATGAGGACTTGACTTTGATGGCACAATATCTTTAAAAGGTTTTATTTAGAGCTTTCCTCTTCGATTTATCAATTTTGGCGCAAGAAGTAGGGAGGCATCTAAATGTTTTTCTTTTCTTTAGGTAGATTTTTTCCGAATAATAACAACAAGAGCACCCTTTTGTCTTCAAAGAATGAGATGTAGAAATTATCATTTTTATTGTACTGTTTGACGAACTCTAGCAGTTTTTAGCATAACTACTTCCCAGTCTCTCTCTTTCTCTTTGTGCTCCTTCCCATTTGGAATATCCATCCACAATAATGAAACTATCTTCCGCAAATTCAACGTCTCTCTGAAGCATAAATGAAGGATCTATTCAATTTAAAAAAAAAAAGACTCGTTAAAGTTTACCACAAAGACGGCGAGTAACTGATTTTTGAAATATGGAAGACCAATTCCGCAAGTTAAACTCTACAACAAACTATCGAAAAAAAAAATATTGACAAAAATAAATTTCATTCAACAAGAAAAATCGTATGGGACATTTTTGTCATTGCACAAGGACTCAGAACTTGAAAGGAACTCATAATTGAATAGATTACCAGTAATACTTAACGGAAATTTAAGTCGAGGTTGCTGAAAAAATTTTTGATGCGGATGTTGTAATATTGACTTTGTGGTATGTTGTATTGCTTGAGAGGTGAGCAAGGCAATTAAATCCTTTCACGTTAAAATTTAGAAGATAGAACGTGTCATATGATACTCCACTCGAAAATGTTATCAAATTACCATATAAATGATAGTTTTAAGCTCCCATTGGGTTTTGAAAGCTTGTAAATCGTAACATTTCCATAAATAAAACTGATCGAAATGACTCCCTGATAGAATGTCACGTTTTCTTATATTCTGTCTAATTTGGTTCTCAAAGACTGATTAAGCATTAAAACAGAAAAGGAAAAGGCTTAGCTTGAAACAAAACTGAGATTTCCTATTTCTTCATCAAAATTTGCTGTTCGTGAACAAATAACAGGAAATGACGTAACCTGAACATTCATCATGTTCTAATTAGAAGGAGATAAACAAAAATTTTTTTGAAATTTCATAAGAGCTTTTTAAATCCCATTGGGAAAAAAGCCTCAACGAAGAACTGTGTATGGCGTATTTAGAGCAAGTGACACAATCTTGTCGAATATTAATTAGAAATCGGTTGGCACTCAAAAGACTCATGAGCTTGAAGAAGTCTAAGAACGCGTGTTCTCTTCGTACTACGTGAATTGCCAGGATTTATACAGACTTCGCACTAAAAAGAATATTTCCTTTTCCGTTCATCTCGGAGGGAAAAATTCGAAGTTGTGCAAAATAAGGCAAGGCATCCAAAACTAACTGGTATGACATCATTGGTTTCCGAGAAATATTTGATCATATTCTGAGAATTGATTATTGTCGAGTCAGCAAAAACACTCAAGCACGTATCAGAAATATAACTTCCTCTTGATTGGTTGTTAACTCAATCACTTAACGAGCGTCATTTGCGTGCTGACATTTTCATTTTGTTCCTGTAGAGTTCATCGAGTGAGCCTAATTCAGAGGTAAGAATTCTAAGTGTACAATCCATGAGAGAATCATTAGCACCTTGGTTTGGGAAATATTCAAATTTTTTAACGAAAATGTTTAACAAACAATTCTTGGATGAGGTTTTTGTGATATCCAGAATAATTAAGGTCGAGGTAGGGGTTAGCAGCGTCAGCCTTCGGCTTGGGCTGATAACCCCTACCGAGACGTTGATTATTCTGGATATAACAAAAACTGAAGCTAGTAATTGTTTTATTATACATTGAACAAAAAAAAAAAAAAAGAATGGTTACGACAGTATGAGGAACTGATAATTGATTTATAAACGTATGAAAAAAAAATTTATATATAGAAATCAAAAAGCAACACAAGGCGCGCGAACTTGGCATGATTACCCTGAGGAATCATGCACAGCGGTCATACATGAGTGTTCTTGACATGATTATTGAATCCGGCTACATGAAGTCCTAGGTACTTATTTAAAAAAATTCACCATACGCTTCAACAATTATTGTTAGGTGATTCTTTATATTTTGGATTCGATACCATGATATCTTGCTTGGAGATAGTTCAGTTTAAACAGTATGGATGATCTATAGGTCAAACCAAAGGTGACACTAGTTGTTACTTAATTAAATGTTCTCAACTATTAAAATGCTTTCGTAAAATTATTTTTTCTTGCATAACTAGTTGATATCCTTCTTAACTCACAGCGAGAAACTGCAGGGTTTCACTGCTATTTTTTTCCTCTCGCTGCCCTGAGTCTTTATCAAATATATCATTCTTAATATTTTTCAAACACCATTTATACCAGACCTTTGAAGTAATGAGAATTCGAAAAATGTTTCGTCAATTCGACCTTATGTAAAACCAAATTCTCATTAGCCACCAGCAAACAAATATGTGGAAATTAGTAAGGAGAATAAGCCCTTAGATCTTGATAGCGAAAGGGCTTGGCGCATATTGAAAACCTGCATGTTTAGTAACTAAGCCGGCCTCTTCTTCTCGGTTCTCGATTTCCATCTTGCTTTCTGTGTCTGGTGGTTGGAAGGAAAAAAGGGAAAATTGTGCTATTGA